GGGGGGGGGGGAGTGGCCAAGTTAGCAGCGAAGGCGCCGAGGAAGAGACTCGTCAGAGCCAGGCGAAACAGGTGAGGTCGAGGGAGGGGACCAGACCGGATTAGGCGGTTTGCGGCGGGTAGGACGGACCGCCGGGGTGGTGGAGAGAATAAGGTGATGAAGAGGTTGGGATACTAGAGAAAGTAGGGTAAGAAAGAAAGTAAGATAAGAGAGAGAGTGGTATGATGGAAAGAATGAAGAATGAGGAGAATGGGATAAGGGGGAGAATGGGACGATAGCGAGCGGGCCGTGGCGGTGAAAACAGTATGCCATGCGCCCTTTCTCATCAGGTATGCGAGAGGCTCCCGCGTGTTTTATTATCACGTTTACCTCCCATCTATCGTCGGTGACTAGCCGAAACATGAACGCACCGTTCATCCGTCCAAGGGAGGGGGAGGGGGGTGCGGTCCAGCTGCTGGCCGCCGAACATCTCGCCCCGAAAGCTCATGGTAATGAGACTGTTGTTGTTTGTATTGCGACATGGACCTTAGTGTTAAGACGACGACTTGGAACACTGCGCCGGACCGGGAACTCCCATTGATATCAAAAACCGCTGTTCCCATGGCACATCTAACCTACTTCGCCCCATCTTGAAAAACGAGACGTGCATTCTAACAACAGGTGGGAAGCCTTACATTTCAGCTAGTTACCGGGTTCTAGTCCCAATGGGTCCAGTCCTAGTCACTGGAAGGAAACTGGGCTAGTTGTCCCCGATGTGCCACAGAGTGAAACGAGTTGAGCAACCGATTTTACTTGTCGTTCTCTTTCGATACATCGGATGTACCTCAACGTTCCGCCGCTCCCGTCTACAATGCGACGGGTTTTGGTAGGAGGCCTAAGCCGACGTATCGCCAGACCACGACCCTCCCAAGCTTCCTGTCCTTGCTGTATGTTGACCGCACGACCAGAAGCCCGAGTTGGGTATTTTCATTACCAGAAGTAGTCAGGAGTTCCTGAGGGTAGTTACGTGAGTACGCGGTTTGTGGCGGACAGAAACCTAACTCCTCGAGACATGGGTTCCCCGCTCTCGGGCGGGGTCAGATTGCAAGCTGAGGTTCTTATTAGCAGACACTTTAGGATAATTGGCCACGAACACATACAAGGTATATTTCAAGTGCTCATCGATCTCCATTATCGCGGCCTGGTTGCCGCATCTGTAGCAATAGTTGGGCGCTGCAGGCACGTCAGTGAATGGTAGCGGTAACACCACGTCGTGGGGAACCAACCAGAGAAGATGGTCACCACATTACGGTCTTGCGACCAGTTGTAGCCCTCCATGACAAGCTGATGTGCCCGGGCAATCAGGGTAAGCCCATTGTTGTGGTTGAACGCCTCTGATATGTCCTGGCCGAAAGTGTAGCCCGCGCCGCGGGGTGAGATTCCCCAGCCGCACCGGTCGTCGGGGTCAGACCACAACAGGTCGCACATGGGCCCCTCGTGGGGCACCTCCTGGATCCGGTCCAGGGCTCTGATGTTGTCGAGTGTGTCGATGCTGGGCGACAGACCACCGTGCAAGCAAAAGATCTGGTTGTCGATCAAGGCGGTGAGTGGGAGGTAGTCGAAAAGGTCGGTAAAGTACTTCCACACGTTGGCGTTGCCGTATTTGCGCAGGCATTCGTCGTAGAAGCCGTATACCTGTGTGATTTGGCGGGATTCGTGGTTGCCGCGCAGGATGGTGATGCGCTGCGGGTATCGGATCTTGAGCGCCACAAGCAGGGTGACAGTCTCGACCGAGTAGTACCCTCGATCGACATAATCCCCTGCGCAACACCCAATCGTCAGAATATCAAGGCCGCCTCGCACACGACGTGGGAATATCAGCCTGCCGTGCCATACCCATGAAGAGATAGTTGGTATCCGGGTTCGGCCCGCCAATCTTGAAGAGTTCCATCAAATCGTGGAACTGTCCGTGGATGTCGCCGCAGACGGTGACGGGGCATTTCTGACAGAGGTTAGTGAATCGAGGGGGAACGTCTCAATGGCGGCCGCGATCGGCAGGGCAGACACATACAACGGGTTGTACGTTGGATTCTTCTTGCAAAACTTCACGCGCCTAAACCAGGGATTTGGAGTCAGCACACGCCCCAAACATCAAATGCGCAATCAACTGCCAGGGGGTCTGCGAGGAATTCGATGTTCGCGAGTTGATGGAGGGGCGGGAAGCAAGGGTTGAACAGCGAGCGTCCATGGGCGGCGACAAGGAGGGGTAGAATCAAGAATCAAGGGAGCATCAAGAGCCAAGGCGGACCTTTTCACAGAGTCTCTGGACATCTGCTTCAGCCAGTTGCTTGCATTGCATCAAGCTCTCAATCCAGCCGTCGAGGGTCGGGATGGTGGCCGGCTCGATGTTGGACGAGGTCAGCTCGGTGGGCACGCGCCCAACGTCCTCCATGTTCGTATCCATTCCGGCAATCAATCCTTCGGTGGGCGATGTGAAGTTGGCGGATCCAAGGGAGGGAGGGTATTGTTTCGCTCGGAGTGCGGTCGGTGTACTCGAAAGTGGTTCGTGAAGATTGGGAGCAATGACGTTTGGGTTGTGTCCACTGGCCCGTCGTTTGTGGTCTCCAGGCGCGGCGCGGGTCCAAGGTCCAAGGTCTGGGTCAAAATTGGGCAGGTGGGCGGGTGTCGTCAGGGGTTGCTGCTTTTTGTTAAATTGGCGGGGATATAGGCGAATGTCTCAACGGGGCCTCCGAAACAGATTGTGAAAATGACAGCCGCTCAACTCTCGCAGACGCCTCAGGGTGAGGCTGATTCAAGGCAAAGGGGTATAATAATCGAATGCGATGAGGGGAGAGGGCCGTTGTTTTGCTGAAATGCGGTGCTGAGGTCGGCACTGGCGCCTCTGGGTGGGCTCTTGTGGTCCGTGCGAGAGCCTCCCCGCCAACTTTAGTGGGCAGCTGAAGGTTCAGGGGGATCCACTTGAATGAGGCACCCCGCCGTGCCCGCTCAGCTTCCCATCTCGACCCCCCTGTGCCCCTGCACCGGCGGCATGGGATGGATAAGGGGTAAATTCAACAATCACCGAGGTTGGCACGGACGAGGGCGGGAACGAAAAAACATGTAATCTGCAAACCGTAAATCATCACAATCACCGGTTCAAGACACTAACTACCCATACCTATCCATACCTGACTCATACGAAGCGCCATCAAGCCAGACAATCGAGCCCCCTCCTCCCTAATCTCCTCACATGTCCTAACCCTTCAAGCCGCTGCCTGCGCTCCCATGATCAGCCCTAATCCCGCTGGCGCACTCGATGCCGAGGCATCTGTCGCGGCCTTGACATTTTGGCCGACCAAGGTTCGGAAGTCCAGGCCCACCTCCGAGAGCATGCCGGCATGGTCCTTGGCCGTGTCCATGCACCGCGTCCACGCCTCGCCCCCTTCCTTCTCGCCGCTCAACTGCCGAGCCAGGATGGCGTTGAACGTGTCGACCTCCTCCTTGGCCCACTTGACGCAGGCGCTCATCATGGGCGGTGGGAAGCACGCCTGGAAGCAGGTGACCGTGTTGCGGATGATGGTGAAGTAGACGAAGGAGAGTTCCCAGATGTACTGGTCCAAGTTGCCATGGAAGATGCATTGTCTAGGGTCATGTTAGCCGGTGGTTGCGTGCATGTGCTGTTGTTGTTGTTGTTGTTGGGGCGCCTACCTAGACCGCTTTCGGATCGTCTCACTACGCGCTTCCAAGTATGCTTCACGCGCCCGGTCCTCAAAGCCTAGCCGGGTGAGCCAGGACACATTCTGCTTCGTCTTCTTCGGCTGACTGTGTGTGCCGACCAGCTCTCGAACAGCCAACGCCGCCAGCTTTGCCCGTCTCTCATCGACCTTGAACGAGATGAAGTCTTGCGCGATGACATTATTCTTCAAGCCATATGCGAGACTCTTCAACTTCTCAATCAGAGCCACAGAGGGCTCGATCTGCTGGAGGGCGATGTGGATGTCAAGCTCGTCCATCTGGCTTTCAACCCATCGAAGGTTCTGCTGCTTGCCGTCCACCTCGATCAGCATGTCTTTGATATCGGACAGGGTCTCGAGCAATTCCGTCTTCTGCAGCAACCCGGGGTCACGGGAGGCAAAGTAGTTGATGGTTTCCTTGGCCTTGTTGGTAGCCTCCCTCTCGGATTGTAGGTTCCGCCGCAGCTCCTCCACTCGCTTCCGGATGTTGAGCATAAGAGCTCCCTTATCCGGATCCGCCGGTTTTTCGGTTCGATAAATGAAGGATTCGTTCTGACCACCGCCCCGGACCATGATCGCGTCGGCGAGCTTGTTCCTTCCGCTAGAGGAGTCGCTGGGTCCAGCCATATCCACCACCTCCACGTCCAGCAGATGCCAACACCGGTCGGCCACAAGTTTGGTCATGGGCGCGCGGCTATCCGCGGCAGACGGCGCATCCGTCTTTCGCTTCTTCCGCGAAGCGATGAGAAGGTGGTCATTAAGCAGAAAGATCTGCATGGCGCGGCGCGATCTGTACGTGGCATTATCCAACTCGATCCAAGGCCCTGCGTTCTGGACCACATGACGTCCTGTGGTGTTTGGGAGAAACTTCTGGGAGCCCTCGACGCTCTTGTACAGGGCCTGCATTTGAGAGCTCCAAAGCGCGGTCCTATCGGCAACGGAGCTTCTCTTGTCCCTCCGGCTCAGACCCGTGCCTATCTGACCACCGAACCCGGCGTCGTCCATACTGTTTGAGCCTGACCGTAGAGCGGTGGTGTTGGTCTTGAGCTCCGCCATTAAATTTCGCAGCGTGCGCATCTCGCTCTTGAGCTTCTCAGCCTCCTTGCTGATCTTGATAAACTGCGTGCGGTTTTGATACACGTTTTGTTGGAGATCGGTCGATGCTCGGCGTTTTAGCTTCCGCAGAGCTAGTTCGTAGTCACGGACCTCGTCCTCGGTGGCCTCGCTCAGGATCTCGGCGACATACTGGTCCGGTACGAGATCCGGATTCCGAAGGGCTCGCACGTCTACGTGGAGCCCAGCTCCTCCGCCTCCGCCTTCGCTCCGCCCTCCTCTTGACGGCGGGGGTCGGCGATCTTGGGCCTGGGAATTCACATACTGATCGAGGCTGGGAAGTGCGGGCATCGGGTTTGCGGTCGGATCGAAATCGGCCGGAATGTTGTTAAAACGCGATGAGTATCGTCGTTTGACGAGGTCAGAGGTCTGGAGCGAGGGCGGTCAACTCTTTCTCCTAGCATCGAACAGACCAAGCATGCAAGCTCACCGTCGCACTACTCTGCGGTGGGGGTCGCGGACGAGGCGGGGGAACATTCGCCGCGGGGGGCCGTCCCGAGGGACCTCGCGCGCCGGCATCTTCTTGCAAGATAGGTCCGGAGATCTTGATGGACGGCCTGCCCTTCCTCTTCCCGCTGCGCAGCGATATCTTGGAGCGTTCTTCAGACATGGTACACGATTGGCGCGAGCGGCGTGAAGCTTCAGAAATAAACCGAGGAATATGACAATAATAGACGGAGCCCGGCTCTGTCCCCACCAACTTCGAGGGAGGCGTTGATTATAGTCACAGCCAATGTGCGGCGCTGTTTGTGTGTTGAGTGCGGAGGAGAGCCGCATTGAGCTGCAGGTGGTTAGTGAGGTGGTTCCCGTTTCAAGCAGCGGCAAAGAGTGGAGACAAACCCTCGATTCCACGGCTCAAGCTTGAACGCCAGGGTTAGTATAATATGGCGTAATACACGTATAGTTTACATATAGATTACACATATCTCAACTTCGTCGTTTCATTTCTATCTCACTAGGTATTTTCCTTCATTCTCATTTTCTTCTTACTTTCCGCCCCCGTTTTCTTTCCCTTCTTTTCCGGAACACATAGGTTCTTTGCTGACTTGTTGCAGTCCTAGAAGTGCATCGGACATGCCGTGTTCAAATTGGACGTGGAGCTGGGCGTAGTCGACCTCCTTGAGATACTGTTTTATTTCTTCCATTATGGGGGGCCATTTGGATTCGTCCGACTCGTAATCGGTCGACACATAGACGGTGTCCGGGTTTTCGCTGTCCTGGGGGGAGAAGCCAAGTTTACAAAGAGTTATCTCGCCCATCCCCTTTGTGGCGCTGTGACTGTCCAGGATTTCAATCACTCGACTCTTGATGCCCGGGCAGTCCCTCTCCAACCCTCCAGCGAGGATCTCTTCCGGGATTGCAGACATGTATTTTTTGAGCGTGAGCTCTTCGGCAATCATCTCGACGGTGATGTCGATATCGCCAAGTTTCTCGCTTGTGAGCCGCTTCGAGTCGACGAGCTTCTTCACTTTCCGTACCACAGCCTCCCAGAGATCCGAGTAGCCATCCTCCCAGCGTGCCACGATGAATATAGTTGGGCGGCCCTCTTGGCACGTGAGTTCGACGTCTCGTGGCGTGAGTTCGACGGAGATGACATCGGTCACACCTTCGGCAGAGAGTATTTTCTTTGTCTCGCTCTCCAGGACGCCCCGCCCGAGCTCATCAGATATGAGGCTGCATTGCGCGTTCCACTCGTTGTTCAGAGGAAGCCCCATTGGAGGAGGGGCTCCTACACGGAGTCGAACACTGGAAATATTGAAGTTACCGGCGTCGCTGGAATCGGAGCCGGTGGCCTTTGCCGGGAGATACCGCTGGGGCGGGTACATGTAGGGGCTGTCGAACATGTCGGACAGGGTAGGAGGATTGAGAAAAAGGCAATGATAAAACTTGACTATGGTCCTAATTTTGATGTTGTTTATGTTGGGACTGGAAGTTATATACGATATTATTCACTGCATCTTATGTCAGGTGCCTACCTACCTAACATAGGTACTTCAAAAATCGCTGAACATTGAACTGGTACATACACGGTTTCCACGAGGCGAAACCGATTCAAGGGCTTCTTTATAGACCGCCGTGTGAGTCACCCATCAACCCCTCGCGACGTAAGACGGCGATCTTGATCTCACAAGTTTTGTTCAACATGCATAAATCCGGAGAAGTGGTTTCTTTGTGAGATGAGGTTGTAACCTCTCCATGACACCGTATTACCACTCGGACGATGGCCAAATAATACTCCGCATTTTCATTGTATATACTGTGAGGAACTAAGATATGTTGATTGCACTTGACGATTTTAGCAAAATATTCATGCTAGCCATTGACATTATTGCGGTTGCTTGTGGACACGGCAACTGGGCCGAGCGAGCACATACCGTGTCCTCGGTCGGCCTCATCTTGAATCCCGTGCCAAGCTAGAACACCGAACGCTACATTAACTAGGTACCTCGTTCTGAGGCATGAATTTACACGCCTCGTCGGTTTGAGTACGGCTGCCTACGATGGCCGCGCCAGCTAACTACCTTTGTTATTTCGATGAGACGGGTGTTCCCTGTGAAGTTGGCATGGAGAACAGGGCCTCCGGCGCTTCTCTGGCTCGGAAGGCGAAGGTGTTCCGAAAATCCCCCCGTCATCCGAAGCGCCTCCATCATTAGCGACGCGGCAGGGTCAAAAACCCCGGCCGTTCTGTTCACCGAGCCCCTTTTACGTGGTGGCCGCGCATCATGAGATCACGATGTTACTGTGTTAGGCAACCGCGGACCAGCTTACGCGGCTTCATACAAGTCGCCGTCCCAAGTTATCGAATCACCGGCGTGCTTTGCCGGGATCGGCCCCCCGGCTCGGCCGTAACATCAAACTCGGACTTCGCAGTCGGTAAATTGCCGTGAACTTTCCAATCCCCCCACCTGCCACCATCTTATCTGATCTAGTGATAAGATCATCGCTGGGGCATATATGCCTTGATTTCTGTATAAATACCCATGAACCGGGCAAGATTGGGACCTCGGTTTTACGATCAACATCTTGCCCTACTTTCTCATTACTCCTTCCTAATCCTCAAAAATTCATCATGGCATTCCCTATCGCAGACACTCTGGAGGCACTCTCCAAGACGCTGGCCAAGACCGCCCAAGATCTCAGATCAGGCAGTCTCTCTCTTGAGAGTGACACCTTGCAACGGATGGGCTTGCTCAAAGCCGGCAGTGACCTAATCGATGCTGTCAGCCTCCCCCAGGACAAGATCGTGGTATTTCTACCACTGATTGCCCATCTCACTGCCGTCCGCCTGTTCGTCAAGTGGAAAGCATTTGAGGAAATCCCCATTGACAATGGAGCGACCATTTCGTACACAGACTTGGCCGCAAAGCTGGGTGCCAACGTGTCGCTCATCAGTAAGACACCGAAACCGAACCTACCCTCCCCGTACGTCCTGTGGTCCAACCTGCTGACCAAATCTCCAGCACGTTTCGCCCGAGTTCTCGTGGCAAACGGCACTCTTAAGCAGGTCGGAAGTGACTCGGTCGCCCACACAGCCTTCTCCAAGATCCTCACCACCCCCAACCCCATCTGGGCCATGATGCAGCTCGGGTAGGTTTGAAAGGGGACCGTCCCTCGCGAAAGAAAAGCGCTCGATCCTGACACCCCAACACAGATTTGACAGCCAGTTCACCGCGTGGGTATCCATGCCCAAGTACTTCGACCAGTACGGCATCGCGGAGGAGCCCAAAGACCGCCTACAGACGATCCTGGCCTTCGCCGAGGGCCGTCTCGGCTCCACCGTCTGGGACATCCACCACTCCTCCGAGGAGCGCCTCAAGATTTTCATGCTCGCCATGGGCGTCATCGAGGAGCAGATGCCCGCGCTGGGCGCCTACGACCTTAGCTGGGCCGTGCAGGAGGTCGGCAAGTCCACCGACCGGCCGCTGGTCGTCGACGTCGGTGGTGGCAGGGGACAGGCGCTCAAGGGTATCTGGAAGGCGACCCCCGGTATCCCCAGCAACCGGTGCGTGCTGGAGGATCTGCCCGAGGTGGTGGAGGCTGCGAAGCGGGAGGATCCTGCGATGGCTGATGTGCAGACGGTTGCTGTCGACTTTTTCGAGGAGCAGCCCGTCAAAGGTAAGCAAGCCTGTTTCCGCAACCTTTATAGTCAAGGAGTGCCGGCTAACGGTTGTTTTTAGGGGCCCTGGTTTACTACATTCGCCGGTGCCTACACGACTATTCGGATGAGGAAGCTGTGGTGATTTTGAAGCATATCTCGAGTGCTATGGTGGCCGACAGCAGGCTGCTCATCGTCGAGACGTTGCTCGGCGACCAGCCATCGGCGTTCCAAGCGGCGATGGATCTTTCGATGTTGACCATCTCGGGCAAGGAGAGAACGCGGGCGGACTTCGAAGGTATTACCGGGCAGGCGGCGCTCAAGATCACCAAGATCTCTCAAATCCCCAATGGCAGCGCAGTTATCGAGTGTGCCTTGGCTTGAGTGGCAAGGGGAGAGACTAGGCGGATCAGGCGGTTTATTGGGAAATGTGTATGTGTATGATGTGTGTACATTAACTGTATGAGATAGTTTCACTGCAACTGGAACTCAACTTTCCACCTCTAGGTAGCAATTAGGGGGCGAGATCGGAAGGTTCATTTCCTCGCAACTCTTTTTTTTTTTTTTTTTTAATAAAAAAAAAAAAAAAAAAAAAACAAGAGAGACGGTCGTTCAATGGTCTAGAATGTGCGTGATAAATAGAAAACATTGTAGTTTGCGTAATCTGGGTACCTGAGGAACTCGCGCTGTTGGCGATGTTTGTTGTAATGTGTTTGCTTGTTCATACAACGAAAGGAATAACTATTTCGGGCAACTGAGCCCCAGTGATGGGGGAAGTCGTCAAACAGGAACAGGGCTGAGTGGTGCAACCACACCCTGGGCATGTGTGGGTCCATCGAGCCCCACCGAAATTTTGGAGGGGACAAAGCTTTGTCGGGAATCTCGACCCGATTAACGAAATCGGCATCTTCCAAGTTTCGCCCAACAGATATCGACAGCCGAACGCTCTCCACCTCTCTCACATCTATCGAGACATATTCGATCATATTATTCTACAATGTCCGTCGCAACATCACGAACCACCGTAGTTGCGACAGCGACCGTCGCCGCCGTGGCGACTGGTTTACTCGGTATGCCTACTCTGCGGGTGACGACATCGCCTTGCAACCCAACATGGTAACTGACTGTGACCCGTCACCCACCAACAGCGTACGCCGCCTACTTTGACTACCGCCGCCGTAACAGTGCCGAGTTCAGGAGGCAATTACGTCGCAACCAGCGCCAGCAACAACGTGCCGAAAAGAGCCAGGCCGAGGCTGGTGCCGCCGCTCAGCGCCAATCTATCAAGGACGCCGTGGACGAGGCGAAGGAGGAGGGCTTCCCGGCTAGCGCCGAGGAGAAGGAGGCATACTTCCTGGAGCAGGTCCAGGCGGGCGAGATTCTGGGTGCCGATCGTACGCCTGAGTTCCGGATTAGCGCTTGTCGATTTATTCAGTCAACGATGGCTAACATCTCTGTCTCTCTATCCAGCTTCCAAGGGGCTTGAAGCCGCGCTCGCCTTCTACAAGGCTCTTAAGGTGTACCCTACCCCAGGTGACTTGATCAACATCTACGACAAGACCGTTTCCAAGGTACGAGAGCAGTCGACCCTTGCCCCGCACTAACAAATGAGTTGCTTACGCTGCGCGACTTACACAGCCCATCTTGGACATCCTTGCCGAGATGATCGCATACGATAAGAGCCTCCGAATCGGCACCTCGTACACCGGCCCGTCCGGCGGCGGCGTTGACGTCGCGGAGCTGATGCGCGAGATGGGCGAGATGGGCGCCGTGCCGGGCGTTGGTCTAGACTAGATCGCTCTCATCTAACCGCCGGCGCTCTGGAGCGTCAAGATACACAAAACCCGGCCGAGGCTAATAGAGATTCCCTCGACTTTACCAAAATACCATGGACTTGAGGAACTCACATTGGCTGGGTTCCAGTGGCATTGTACGATACGATATCCATCCCCCTTCCCGGGGAGGGGCCTAGTGGGTCCGCTGGGCTAGACACAGGACCAGATGTAAGAGTGATGATAACTGTATTACATAAACGGATCACGGAAAGTAGCAGGGAGCGCTAGAGGTGCTTTTTGGTTTAATAGGAACCTGCACTTAGGACGAAACGACTGAGTTGGTCGACGGAGATGTATGTATCATGCCTTTCCCCAGTGCCGAGCTACTCTCCGGCAGTCTATGTAGCTCGATAGGCCGCCCCTTCCTGTCCACTCGTTGATTCCCTCGGATCAAACCCGCCGGTTGCCCCACGTCGCCCACTCGGGAGTCTCCGCGCCCCATGTAGTCCTCGGGGGCTGAAATCTCCATCCAGCCCCTTCTCCTCTAGCAGCTCAAAGAACCTGTCATAGTCGATCAGCGTGTGCCACTTCCCGTCCACGCGGAAACGCTCGCTCGCGAGCAGGATGCAGCAGCTATGCGCATGCTCGGCCGCGATGCCGTACTGCAGCCCGCGCTTGCGCAGTGCTTCTCCAGCGCCATGACGAAGTCGCAAACCTCCTGGTAGAAGGGCACGTTGGCCATTGTCAGGCCGGCGTTACTGGACGTCGATGTGCCGCAATAGGTCACGCCCTTGACCTCGACGAAGCACGGCAGGCCCTTCTCGACCAGGTCGGCGTACCCTTCGGCCTCGTCCTCGATGTTGAAGCCCTTGACCAGCGTCAGGCGGAAGACGGTGCGCTGGCGGAAGCGGCGCTCGCGCAGAATGTCGAGGCAACGCTGGAAACGCTCCCAGAAGTCGCGGTGGAGCGGGCGGTCGATGCGTCGCAGTGACTCTCGGTTGGAAGCATCGATGCTGACGTACAGCTGCGTGACGTGTTGCAATGCCGCGAGTTGGTCTGGGTGCTGCGCATTGCAGACCAGGAACGACGAGATGCGCTCCGCGTGCAGCATGGCCAGGAACTCGTTGATGTGTGGGTAGAAGATGGGCTCGCCGACCAGCGACAGCGCGCAGTGCCGTACGCGCATGGCCTCGGCGAACCGCTCCGCCCGCACCCCCGGCACGCCGCGCATCATCTTGATCTTTTTGTAGTGGTTCTCCTTGACGCCGTCGAAAATGAGTTGGGGCGGGTCCACCACCCAGCGCCAGGTGGTGCCGACCGGGTTGGTACCGTGGCGCCAGCAAAAGACGCATTTGTTGGAGCAAGAGAGAGATGGGGTCGATTCCATGCATTGGTGCGAGTTGATTCCGTAAAAGGAGTATTTGTAGCAGGACCCACGGCCACGGAGGGCGGATTTGGTCCAGCGGCAGATCTTAACCCCTGAGTGGGAACCGACAATTGAGTATCCCTGTTTCGTTAGGGCCGCATATGTGGGTGAGCTCTTAGGTACCATCTCTTTGACGGTGGTGGCGGGTGTCTTCTTGGTTACTGGTTTTCCTTCCGTTGTGAAATCAATAGCCAGCGGTGCCGCCGGTTTCTTGCCGGGACCATCCGTCCCCGATAGCTCCATGATCCGGCCAATGTCTTCGACATCCTCGAGGCTGCCAGAGCCCCGCCCCTTTGTGGCCTTTGACATGGAGACCTCTTCAATCACTACTTCTCCGTCATCTTCCGCCTCTTCTTCGTCGTCACTCTCCAGGGGATCTCCAGAGCCTGGAACGCCTTCTCCCAAAGCTCCGGTCAGTTCTAGTTGCTTGAGGACATCCGTCAACCCAGTCCGCCACTCCATCAGCCTCTCCTTTCCGTCCCTTTTCCAGTCACCCATACCCAAAGGATATGCTCGCTTCCGCGCACTTAGCTTGGCCATCCACCTGTCGACCTCCTTGGCCTGGAAACAATACCCCTCCTCTTCGGTTGGCCACCCTTCCCTGTCCCCAAAGCCAAACACCGAGTACCCCAGAATCGGAGCGAGTGGGGAGGTATCGATACGGAAATCATGGTGTGTTTCTTGAAGGTGTTCAAGGAAAGTGTCGTTGATGCAGTCGATGTTGTAGCTGGGGATAACGAAGAGATAAAAGCAGTCGGTTTTCTCGCCCTCGGACTTTGGGGGTGTGATAAAGTACTCGTCGAAGTCAATTTCGGCCAGATCCAAAACTTGCGGTGGTAGGAATTTGCTGTCCAGTTTTCCTTCAGAAGAACAACCTAGGGTCTCTGCGAGCTCTTGGGTAAAGGCCTGTGCAATCTTTGGTGTGTTGGCTGTCAATGAGGAAAAGAATATGAGGACCTGGATTTTGCGCGCCTCGCCCTCGGTTTCTGTGGCCCCGCGCCCCTTCTTCTGAACATCGCCTTTTATCCTCTTCGGGCCTCGCTTTGCTCCTTTTTTATCATTTATTGTCCTTGAATATTCGGATCCCTCGGAGTCGTCCTCCTTTATCACAGGTTTAGGTTTCTCGTCGGCGTTGCGCTTCTCGTCCAGGGTGACTTTCTCGTAGGTTTTCGGTAGTACGCGAAGTTCTTGCTTTGGTTGGCTTGAGTGGAGGTATATCCGCAGCAGGCTCAGCACGAATAGGGTCGACATAATAATCGGAATCCGGTGTTCGTGCCATAAGTCGAGGACGTCTGTCGGGAAAGCTGTTAGTCTCGGCTCATTGGGTATGAACGGAAAGCCGGAGAGTTGGCATACAATGTGTGATTTCCGCCATGACGGAGGGGCTCACGCCCCGGCTATCGGGGAACATTGCTTCTTGGCTCTCTCCAGGGCGATGTGGAGGGAGCACACGAGCACACCTGAGAGTCCCCAATGGAGTTGACTTGTCGCAAAAAGTTTGGAGGGACCCCGAATTGTGCCCCGCATCAACGTTGGCTTAAGCTTATCGCGCCTTATCCTCATTGCGCCACTCGCTCCACCCTAACCATAACAGGGGCACGAGGGGTACGGTACACAGTACACTCCATTACAAGTACGGAAGGCCCGGGCAGGTCCCAAGTTTATTTGCTTCTAGTTTAGTTTAACATGAATGGGATCATGAAGTTCAATTGGCTTGGTAAAGGCGCGTTGTTATGCTGAATGGAGCCATGTAAAGTCTCCAGAAGAGCAACCCGCTTTAGTACAATACATAGTGTACATACACACATACATAGGTACCTAAATACAACCCTACTCTCCTGATAATTGCGTCTCCTGAGTTGAAATGTCATCGATATGATACCTAGATATAAGGCAGCCAGGAAGAAATCCGTTCACCCTTGCACTTTATATCCTCAAATCCGCCACATCCTCATCCTTATATGCTTCATCATCCCCGCTTTCGAAAGGCCCTCCACTGCGGTGTCTTAACGCACCCATCTCGCTCTCATCTCCAGAACCCAAGGCAACACTGCCGTCACCCTCGACTTCCTCCCCATCCTTGGGAGATCCCTCGTCCTTCCGCCCGATAATCACGTTCCCCGCCACTAACATAGCCGCACCAAGCCACCACAGCGGTGAGAGGCTTTCGGAGAAGATAATGAAACCGAAGACAGCTGTGATGACAAAGTTGGCCGATGTGTTCATGATAGAGACCTGGGTCGTCGAGTTGCCCCGGGCGAGGGCGGTTGTGAACAGCGTCCACATCTAGGGGCGTTGTTAGCTAACCGAAAGAGGGCATCCTTACAAGGGAGAATAGGGTTGGGCGGGCCACGATGAGACGAGACATGTAGTCAAATGCGGCAACTGCAAGCATTGAATGAGAGCAGCATGAAGGTGTCAACTTACTACACCGTTGAATACTAGATTCAACCCAAAAAATGACTAGTGGGTGATTCGCATGTTAGCTCTATGCCGAGCACACCGAAAACCATGAGATGCAAACACGAGTTGACAACTTACACCTCGCACGATGACCTCAATAGCACTCTCGATACTCTCAAGCCCCAGCATACGCGCGATGCCCAACGAGAAAGTAGTCGTCAGCTCCGTCGTCGTTCTGTAACCGCCACCCTAAATCAGCATCATTATCCACAAACAAACCACTCCCTAAGCACCATGACCCAGTCTCGCGCAAAACTCACAGCTTAGCAAAGACACCATTGAACGCCGCGCAGGCCCCACTCGCCAACGCATAAACAATCCATTGATTCCGCTGCGCCCAGCTCCGACTCTCCGGCAACGGCGCCTCGACGCCTGTACTGTGCCCGGCTGCCGCGCCGTCGTTATCACCGTCTAGGAACGGCCTTCCTTCGTCGGTGGCGGAAGAATTCATATCGTCGACAAGCCGTTTCTCATTCTTGGCCTTTGTGGTCGACGTGACTTTCTTCTTGAGATCTGGCGTTGTTGAAATAGGCGCGGAAACTGCGGGCGCTTCGGGATGGCGCTTGCGCGGGCGGAGGGTGGGCATTGTTTGAGATCGATCCGGTCCCGCGTCGGGTCGGTTGGCAATGTAATGGTGGGTCGGGATTCTGAGTAAGGCTGGGCTTTTTGCGGGGAGCACGAAGAATCCGCCTGTTTGGTACGGCTTCCCCGGATGCAGTGGAAGTGGATTGGTGGGACGGTGCCTCGTTGTCTGTGGTATGTGAAAGGCGAAATCGGCTTTCACCCATGTTTTTTAAGGGGCGCGTGCGGATTGCGACGTCTTCATTTGGTGTCAATCAGAAACAACCAAGTCTTGTTTCCAGAACGGGTAAAACGTGTTTATTACAGGGGTTGGTTGAATGAACCAGATGGAACTGTTTTCCATGTCAAAAGGGCCAGCATCGCAACTTGGATTGACCCGTGCCATTTAGTTTGTGTTATAAATCATGTATAAGCCCAAGGCCTTGTGCTAAGCCGTTCTAGTGCGATGACCTCTCCCTATCCGTGACGCCATGCCCTTAGATGCCGTTCTGATACCGTGCAGTGCTCCGATGCCAACGCCAGCCATAACCCATTCCCAGAAAAGACAACCCTTATGAGGTATCAATGTCGAATCAACCTGAAAGCACTGCGTGCATCACTGTCTGCTCCGTCCCGCTCTCAACTTCCCCATCCACTCCGGCTCCCGCCGAAGGATGCCGCCTAGCTGCTCTCCGTCTTCACGTGTACTCTCGATACTGGATTCCTTTTCCGACGCGGGGATTCATCCTACTTCTCCTCGGTCTTCTTGGAACTGCAACTGACAATCTTGACCTTGTCAGCCACAACGGTATGGCTGCCGTTGTCGAGTTTGAAGGTGACATTGCGAATGAGGAACGTCCAGACTTCGTCGCAGAATCGGTAAGTGTCGAGGGAACCCTGTGTAAAGGCGTCGCGGGTTAGCGCTGGATAATGAATGTGCGCATCAGGCTCGTCCAATTCGGCGGACGCCAACCTTGTCACACCTCGCCTCGTTTCCGGGCTCCGCAGGGGTACTCACCTTGAAGGTCAACCGTGACTTGACCTTTTCTTGCAACGTTTCGGCAATGACGCGATCGAATTGGGTGAGGACCTTCATGGCGAGCTGTGGATCGATGCGCTCGTCACCGATTAGCTCGTCCAAAGCATCCGTCAAGGCAACACCGAGGCTGTAAATGTAGGGGTTAACCAGAGGCGCCTCATGGAGATGCTCGCAATTTGCGCCAATGAAAAACGGGAAAATCTACCTTCCATGACGATACAAATCGTAGTAGTTATTCGTAGAGCTTGCCATCTTGTCTTTTGGTTTCGCCGTTTGTAAGCGTCAAGTGGTTGTAGAGGGGCAAGTTGATGGAGTTCCGGAGGAATGCAATGGGGCCAATTTAAGATCACGTGACGAAGCATGCACAGCAGCCTTGGCAGGCAGTTGGCGGCGCGGCAGTGCCGCCTCGATTCGGTTTACCAGGAGCTTCGTGGTTGGGACCTCGATCCAGGAAGAGCAACCTATCACTAATTACCAATTCTTCCGGATACGCCGACGACAACGCGAAACCAGCAAGATGGGATACTCATACACATATGGAGTCGGCGGGATAGGGTCCACCCTAGCGATTGTGGGAGCTTGTGAGTTGGAGCTACTCAATGCAGCTGCATCAATGGCTGCGTGCTTGCTCTTGCTGACCATGCATCTTGCGCAGATATGCTCTTCACCGGCAGTGGTGAAGCCTTCAACGTATGATCGCATCCGAACGAACCCCTCGATCCGACTCAATACGGCTGTACTCACACGACGAACCTCTAGGTCGGTGCGTTCCTCGAATCCGTCTCGCCGTACGCGTGGGCAGACCTGGGCATTGCGCTCTGCATCGGACTGTCGGTGGTTGGGGCAGCATGGTATGCGACTTAGCATTGGTTCCCTCTCCGGATTCCATAATAACCTCTGAATGCTCGCAGGGGTATCTTCATCACGGGCTCGTCTATCCTCGGCGGAGGTGTCAAGGCCCCGCGGATCCGCACCAAGAACCTGATCTCCATCATCTTCTGCGAGGTCGTCGCCATTTACGGCGTCATCATGGCCATCGTCTTCTCGGCCAAGATCAACCCGGTGGAGGGCGAGGCGGCGTGGTCAGCCGACACCTATTATACCGGATATGCGCTCTTCTGGGCGGGCATCACGGTTGGCATGTGCAACCTAATCTGCGGCGTTGCCGTGGGTATCAACGGGAGCGGCGCCGCGTTGGCGGATGCCGCCGACCCCACTCTGTATGTTTTTCAAGCTTTCCGCAGCAACTCCCGTTGCATTGATGCTAACAGTCGGCAGCTTCGTCAAGATGCTCGTGATCGAGATCTTCAGCTCTGTCCTGGGCTTGTTCGGCCTGATCGTCGGGCTACTCGTGTCCAACAAGGCGCCCGACTTTGGCAGCGCTTAAGGGTCTCCGCTCGATCACAAACTCACCCACGCATCCACGAACGAATCTCTCAAATTGAATTCAGACTGCAGCGGCAAGCGTGTCTGTATAGCTTCATTATCTCGGCGTTTTGGAAGAGGGGCAGGGGCGGTCAACGGGCATGGCCGGCATCATCTCAGTGTAGAAGTTTACTGTACAGAAGAGGTTCGTCAGGTCATATATTGTTTAGTTATCTTGTCAGAATTTTGTGGTTTGGTTATACGTTGGTTCGTAGGCTTCCCATTAGCAGTGCTTCCACCCTGGCTCCCTTACGCAGGGGCTCTGGCCCGCTGGGCATGCAGAGCAAGGCGTTGGCCCCCTTCAGACTGCCAACTCTTGAACTCCTTTGGCCTCCTGTACTCGTGGCGGACAGCACACCATCGCTCCCAACCGAGACAATTGCGCGGTGATACTCGGGTCGGGATTTGTCCAACGAAAAATCGTGAGACAGGATCACAGGTACTCGCGGTAGCCCCGCTGGCGCGATGCCCGACATCTGCCGCAGAGACGGGAGCACAAACAGGTGGAAGGTCACTAGCGCCGACGCCGGGTTGCCAGGCAGCGAGAAGATGACTCTGGACACCCTCTCGCCGGCGTTGTTTTTCACGGGCACGGTGGCAAACGTTGTCGGCTTCCCGGGCTTCATCGCAACCCGCCCGAAATGGATAGTCCCGCCCAGTGACCGCTCGATGGTGGGCTTGAGCAAGTCGAGCTCCCCCATGGAAACCCCGCCGGTGGTGATAACCAGGTCCACCTTGCGCAGCCCATCCCGTAAGACCTCCTCCAGGGACCCGGCCTGGTCACTCGCAATCCCCAGATCAACAACCTCATATCCCCACTCCCTCGCCGCCGCGATCAGCCCTGGCCGGTTCGTATCCCTCACCTCCCCCAACCGCAGCGCCCCCTCCCGATCATGCTCCACGATCTCATCCCCCGTCGACAGCACCCCGACAACCGGCCTCCTATACACCTGCACCTCCCTCACCCCCACCGACGCCAACAGGCCCACCTCACCCCCAACAGCAGAAACCTCATCCCCCTTCCCAAATATCCTCACCCCCTCCTCCACATCACTCCCCACCTCCCTCACATTCTGCCCCTCCCTCACCCCGGGCGCCAAAATCCGCACCTCCTTCTCCTCCCCGGCCTCCGTAGCCGACACCAGCACCGTATCCTCCACCATCACCACGGCCGTCGCGCCGCGCGGCAGCGGCGCCCCCGTGGTAATGCGCGCCACCTCGCCTACCTTGAGCACAGCGTCGCCGTCCTCCCCTTCGCTAGCCGCGGTGGCGTGCGACACGGCCACGACGGGATACACGCCCGACATGTCGCCCTCGCCGACCACGGCGTACCCGTCGACGATGCTCGCGCGGAAGGCCGGCACGGGCTCGGCCGCGTGCACGTCGGCCGCGAGCACGGAGCCGGTGAGGGAGGGGGTGACGCGGGCGGTGGTGGTTGTGGGTGGGGGGGTATGGGTGGCGATGAGGGTGAGTGCGTCTTCGACGGGGACCATGGGGTAGGGCGAGGCGCGGTGGCGGCGGGAAGGACCCAGGGTTGGGTCGTTGGATTGGGGGGAGTGGTCGAAGGTGGCGGTGTGTCGGGTGAGGGGGGGGTGGGAGTGGGTGTGGTTGTGCCTGTGGTTGTGACCGTGGTGGTGGTGGTCGTGATGGTGGTGGGTGGCGGTGGTGGAGCTCCCGCTGACGCCGGCTTCTTGCTCGAGCTTCTTCACGCCACCTGAGTGGAGGGCTCGCGAGTCGACGCCGGCGGCTTGGAGACAGGCGTGGGGGAGTGTTTTGAGTACTGCCTGGAGATTCTCCCTTGCTCCCTTGGGAGATCCGGGGAGGGTGATGATGACGGTCTGGTTCCTGACACCGGCGACGGGGCGTGACATCATGGCAAAGGGGGTGACTGCGAGTGAGGCTGCAAGCATGCCGTGGACGAGCCCTGGTGCTTGTTTGTGGAGGAGTACCGAGACGGCTTCGGGAGTGTGGTCGGCGACGGCAAAACCTGTTCCACCCGTCGTAATAACCAGGTTGGCGGGTTCCGCGGAGTCGGTCCAAAGGGTAATCTGCCGTTGGATCTGGGTGGCGACGTCGCTTACAATCTTTGTGTCGACGACATCCCACCGGCCTCCGCCATCCTGCTCAAAAACACCTCGGAGCGCGGCTTCGGCGGCATCAGTAGAGGGATCCTTCGCCGCTGTCGTTGATACGACAAGAATCGCTGCCTTGAGAGGGGCCGACATTGAATCGTATATATATTCTTTTTCCCGCGCTCAGTTTACGATTCTTAGAAACGTTGTTGCTCGAATTTCTCATGAGCGTGACAAAGAGACTTTGGGCGATACACTGGTGGTGGTGACTGTCTCGGGCGTGGGGCCGCGGGGAAGCTTTCATGTAAGCTATGTCGGTATATCCCGTACATGAATACACACACACCTCAGTTATAAGCCGGTACAGGAACGCCAAGGCCACAGAATCCTCAAGTCCGCAACATCCGTCCCTCCAACATTCATCACCCAGGTTTTGACACCTCGAATGCGCCTCGATGAGCCATTTTCTGCCGAAACAATCGCCGAGATTTTTATTGGATAAAGATCAATGAGCTTGTTCCATGTCCGGCTTGACGGCACACTTATGCACCGGCCCGCGCCCGGGAGCCGGCAGCCGGGAACCGGTGGGGGGAGCTTGGAGGTTCCCGGGTTGCAGCAGGCATTTCTAGTATGTAAAGGATCTCTCACCAAGGCGGTAGCTACAACGCCGGGGATTGTGACCAATTTTTAGAGGCCTTGCTTTCCCTGTGTTGCCTCGGCGCATGGCGTGCATGAGTGGTGCATCGGCTATCTGCCTTGAGGCCTACATGACAAGGCAGTGTTGGTGATGGTTGGTTTGGCCGCAGCGACGCCGGCCCGGGCCAGCGCATCCGCATCCAATGGTCTTTGCGATCGTTTATGTTGGTGGTTTTCTCTGATTTAACAGCCTTGGGCTCCCCCCTCTTGATTATTCTCATGATCCGTTTGCTCTGTACCAAACAACGCAATCATCCCCAACATCGAACGTCCAAGATGGCCCCCCTTCAGAACTTCATCGCGAACCGGCTCCCGGTGGCGGCCACGATCGCTTCCGGATCATTGGGGGACGAGTTTAGTAACTGGTTCGGTCAGTTCAGCGTATGGTTTGCCCAACAATGGGAGCAGTTTCTGGCATGGGCTTCGCAACCTCGTATGTGTTGTCCTCGATCGACAATCCGGAGTGATCCTACTGGATGGCTAACGGGATTCCGCACAGATGTTATGGCAGCCGTCTTAGCATGGCTCATTACATTCTGGGTTGTTTGTATCATCATCCTTGGGCTGGGGTTTGGGCCGGCCGGTGTTGTCGCCGGTATGTCACCTTGGGTACCGAAGATGCAAGTCGTTCGCTAACCTCACCTATTTTCCTCTCAGGCTCGCTTGCTGCGTCCTGGCAGTCCTACGTGTACGCGGGTTTCACGCCCGCAGGAGGTATATTTGCTACGCTGACTAGCATAGCAATGCTGGGGCTATTAATACCCGTCGTAGTCATTGTTGCCGCGGTTATCGCTACAGTAGTGACTGTCACGGTGTGGTTCTGTGGCGTGGGAAGATGATTAGACAACTCGGAGATGGTTCCGCTGGTAATTCTTACCGTTCCACTCACGCAGTACTTGGTTTTATAATCAAACCAGAAATTTGGGAATGAGACCTATATTTTTTAGGAGGATCCGATGATTTCGCCCTCAATCATGCTTTTACAATGGTTTATGGTCATTCAAGGCTGTTCCAATGCGCTGCTTGAGACACTCTCTTATCGATAAGCTTTCACTCATTTCCAAATCCACCAAACGCTCAAGTGGTCGTGCCAAACTTCATTCGACCGCGTGCGTCCCAGAACCCACCATGGTACGCCTCAAAGACCGTTACCTCCTAGCAAACATCATCTACACTGATGTCCCGCCCGGGCAGGCCAAGGGCTCGGTGCCAGATCTGCTCCTATACAACCAGCCGACAACCAACGAGCTGAGACCCCAGCTGCTACTCAAGGCCATCCGCAGCGAGGTGGCCTCACTGTTCGGCGATTGCGGCTCGGGCGCCGTAGATCGCAGCCTTCAGGGTAGGAGAAAAAAAGACTTAATTTACGTGGTATTCTCATTCAACACCGCTAACCACAATACACAGTGAAATACCTGTCCCCCGCAACATCCACCTTCATCCTGCGCGTCTCGCGCGCCCACTACCGCCTCGTATGGGCGGCCCTGTCCTTCATGAACCGCGTGCCCGTCCGTGATGGTCGGCCCTGCGTGTTCCGCGTCGTGCGCGTCAGTGGTACCATCCGCAAGGTCGAGGAGGAGGCCGTACGCCGCGCCAAGCTGCTCGTCCTCGCCGCCAAGGACGAAATGGCTGGCAAGAAGGGCTCGTCGGCCGACGCTCTCGGAGCTCTCCTGCGGAGCGACGGCGGTCAGTCTCGGAACGCTGCGGTGGTGGCGGATATGCAGGTCGACTCGGACACCGAGGCTGAGGGCCAGGGGTTGTCCGATGATGGGTGAATGGGCGGGCGGGACAGGTTGGTGGGATTACGTTTACTTTTTCTTGCGTGCTACCCGGATACCGCTATCAGATGTCGACGGCTGCGGCGGACTCGATAAGGAACCCAGGGCATCGCCGCCCGACAACTCGGCCGCCGCCTCGGCCTGCGCCTGCCGGCGCTTCTCCTGCTCCTCCTCTTCTTTCCGCTCCAGTTCGTCATAAAAGTCCTTCTCATCCACCCACCGCTCTTGGATATTCTGCACATCCATCATCGACGCCTCGTTCCGCATCGCCACCCGCCAAATGCTATCGTTGGTCCCCTCCGCGCCACCAAAGGCGTACCCACCGGCCCGGTCAATCACTCGCAGGAGGTGCATCATGCTCTTCTTATTCTCCACCGCCAACACCTCGAAACTGACCAGCCCGAACCGCTCGACGAGTTCGGCCACCGCCTGGTTTAGCCGCCCAAACTTCTCGCTCCGCAGCGCCGGCGCCTCGGCCTCTAGAGAGGGCATGAGGTATGACAGGTCCTGCACTTCGGTGTAGTAGTCTAGGCTGAATGGTAACGGATCGTACGCTGACACCTTGTCGATTTTGGTGAGCACGTTTATGTGTGGGAGGTCCATCTGCAGCATGGCGCGCAGTGAGAGGAGGAGGTTGGAGATGTATAGGGACGGCTGGGTCAGGCAGAACGAGTCGGATAGGTGGACTGCTACGAGCTGATTGGCGATTAGCAAAACTGGCGCTGAGCACATGGGGCCGGCAGCATAGTGGGACAGGACATACTCTGTATCCCAACTTTTGTAACCGATAAAATATGTTGCGTAGGGACGTGTGGTGAGTGTACAATTCGACCTGGCCGGGGCAGTCGAATAAGACATAGTCCTCGCCGAGCTCTTTCAACCCCTCCTCTAACCATTCCATGTTGTTCTCCAGCTCCTCCAACGCGTACAATATCCCGCCGTTGGGTCCGAGCTGGTCGTCTGACATGATCTCTTCGAGTGTGACGAGGCTGCGTATGTCGAGCGCGCAGGGGTAGTTGGTGTGGTCGTTCGCAGGGTCGAGGTTGACGACGGAACATTGCCGCCCTATGGCACCCATAAACTGATGCACTTTTCTTTATTAGCGAGTTTAACGTGTCGAAAGGGAACTCATGGGTCGGACTCACTGCCATCGCAATAGGTGCTCTTGCCCGATCCGGGGCTACCGATGACGAGCTGTCCAAACGGCATGTTGGTTTGTGATTTAATGTTTTGATTATCGTATCATGAATCGATTGTCTATGCGGCCGCAGGATATTTGAACACGGAATGTCGAAGTATCGGCCTTTGTTCGTTGTTGTCTGGGCCTGGAACCTTCGACGCCTTTAGAATGCATCAGCGCCGCTTGCCCCGCCAACTTCAACCGGACCCCACGACATCAAGCTCCAAGTGGGGCCCGAGCCGCTGAAATTTAGCGGTATATCAGGGCAGAATATTGGCCCTTGTTTACCTTGCCGTGTTGCCCCAGTTTCGTGCATTGGCTCGAACTCGAGCTGGTCGAAGCTCCCTTCATCAACCTTGAATTGTCCAGTGATTCTCTTTCCGCAGCAAATTTATTGGAACATGGCTCCTGGTATGCGCACCCTCTCCCTATTTTGGTACCTTCCTCAACACTAACAGAACCCCCGTAGCCGCGCAATTCGAAGCGGCGCAACCGCCCAAGGACGCCATCTCGGCTCTCGTCTTCGCCCCGGGTCCATCCAGGCGACTGCTAGCTTCGTCATGGGACAAGAACGTGTACCTTTACGAGGTCGCCAATGGCGCCGAGGAGGCGAACTTGGTTGGGACATTCGAGCATCGTGCGCCCGTGCTTGATGTGTGCTTCGGCGCGGATGAGAACGAGGCCTTCATCGCGGGCATAGACCATCAGGTTAAGAGGTGGGTTGTTCTGTCCACACCGTGCCGACAACGAAGGTATCAGTGATTGATTACCAATAATAGGATTGATCTCGCGAGTGGAGAGCAAACAACCCTTGGCAAGCACTCCGCGCCCGTCCGCTGCGTCGTCTACAGCGCCCAGCACTGTAAGCACATCCGACCTCCTTCCGATTCCCTGCGGTAATCGCACCAAGCTAACGGCCATCATCCATCCAGCCCTCCTCATCTCCGCCTCCTGGGACAGCACACTCCAAGTCCACTCCACAACCAACGCCTCCCAGCAACCGCTGACGATCCCGCTCCCGGGCAAGCCCCACGCTCTCGCCGCAAGCCCAAGCAAAGTCGTCGTCGCCATGACCGCACGGCTAGTCCACATCTACGACCTGCCCACACTCGCATCAGCGGTCTCCGCCGGGAGCAACAACAACAACAACCCACCACAGCCGTGGCAGCAGCGCGAGTCGTCGCTCAAGTTCCTGACGCGGGCGGTGGCGTGCATGCCCAACGACGCCGGGTACTCGACGTCGAGCATCGAGGGTCGGGTGGCGGTGGAGTGGTTCGAGGACAGCGCCGAGTCGCAGGCGCGCAAGTACGCCTTCAAGTGCCACCGGCAGGCGGCGCCCGAGGACGAGGGCGGCGGCGACGTCGTCTACCCCGTCAACGCCCTCGCCTTCCACCCCCTCTACGGCACCTTCGCGTCCGGCGGCGGCGACGGCACCGTCGCCCTGTGGGACGCCGAGGCCAAGCGCCGCATGCGCCAGTACCAGAAGTTCCCCGAGAGCGTCGCCGCCCTCTCCTTCTCCGGCGACGGCCGCTTCCTGGCCATCGCCGTGTGTCCCGGGTTCGAGACTGGCATGGAGGATTATAGCGGGGAGGGCAGGACCAAGATCTTTATTAGGGAGCTGGGCGAGACCGAGGCTAAGGGGAAGGGGGCTAAGTAAATGAGGGGAGGGTGGGGGTTGTGAGCTGATCAAACTGCATAGTATAAAGAGGCTTTGGGGTCTGGCGTTGGGACGGAAATTCACATTTTGTTTTGCTTAAATGTGACGGTTTTTGCGGTATAAGCTCGGGCTCGATCCGAAGCATGCGATCATTAATTAACTATCGCTACTAGCAAACCCGCGCTCTCTCCAGCGGTGTATGTTCGCCAATCTTATTACATCTTGAACAATCACTCCTCGATCTCACCAGCCGACATTCAACATTACATCCGACAAGTTAGCCTCGCCAAGTCACAGTGTGTTAACTCTCCGAAATTCTCTCCCCGACGGCCGCAGCTCACTAGCAGGTCGTGACAAAGTCTCTGAGACGTGCGTTTTACAATCATCTTCTTCCGGATCTTCTGCAGGCATGACGAGAGTCTCGGTCGAGGTTTTCGGGCTAGGGATCAAGTCTAGCTCGTCATCATCACCATCGTCGAATGTGTCTTTGCCAGTCATCTTGTCATCATCCTGGCCCACCGTGAGATCCCGGGTTGGCGTATGCAAATGGAACTGACTATCCTTCATGGCGATGGCTGGAACCTGAGACTGCTCGGTGTGCCCATTCCCCTTGGGCTGTTTAACCTGCGGCTCTGGGACCAAAGACTCCTCCCCTGCCTTATCAGTTTCACCCAGCGCGGAGGTGGTCTTCTTCATTGTGGTTAGGGTTATTGGGTGAGGTTTCGCTTGCTGGCTCAGGCCTTTTGGTTCCAACCAAGCGCGACTCTTCTTTTTTAGGGCGAAGGAGAATGGGTTATCGTCAGTATTTGCCCCTTGAGCCTTTCTCTTCCGCTCAGGTGTTCGAATCATCGACTGCGTCAGATCGAGGATACCTACATAGGGGCTAGTTGTAGATTGCTTTCCGCTACGGGTTAGAAGATTCGAACCGTTTGGTTTTGCTTCTCGGCCCGAGAAGCCATCCCCAAATCTGTACCTCAAGCGGGGGTTTTGTGCTGGCTTGGGGGCGTCTGGTTCGTCATCTAGATCCAGCCGCTTGTAGCCTTTTGCCTCCGCCTTGCTGAAAATAAGGTGTGGGCGGCGCCGGAGGCTTCTCATCCCATTTCCTGTGCGTCTATCATGTTTTATGTTGCACCCCGGAGGTCGTTTCGAGGGGACGAAAGGATCGTCTCCATCTTCGTGGACTGGTCCTGGGCTTCCAGAGTGTGGCGACACTTGCAAATTCCTGTCTGGAGTTGATGGTGAAATGGCTGGCATCAAGTTAGGACGAGGTTGACACTGATCTCACAGCCACCCGAGTGGAAAAACCTACTGTGGTTATCGATTTTCCTATGCACGCTTACGTCGGGGGTGTGAAATCTCTCGAATACAAAACCGGCTGTGGAGAGAGTGGATTTCTTGGGTGCCGGTTTGAGGGGAGGCAGCGAGAGAAGTGACACTCTCCGGTTACTCTTGCCCTGTTGTGCATCGGTTCCTAACGGCGTGTTTACCGTAACGGGTGTCGGCAGACCCTGCCCGTCCTGGTTTTCTTCGGGTGTCATTTTTGGTGCAACACTCCCTATGAAGGTTTGAGCTGGCGGATATCTCGAGACGGAAGTAGCAAGGTTTCTGAGTTGGTAGGGACGCGGGTACAGGTAATTTAAGGTAGGTAGGTAGTTGTTTGAAGAAAAGGTTCTCGAGTGCGTTGGTTGAAGAAGTGAGTTGTTAGGTTCGGTGGCAATGGGAAAGAGTGACTCACACGCTCAGGAGAGCAGAGCACCTGCCCAGGTATGTACCTAAGGTACCTAACCTCGGCCTGTAATAACCTGAAACATACCAAGTCCTAGACCTCATGCAAAGACTTGGATGCCATGCTCGGACGCCACTTGCCTTGAATGCTGGGTTATATATGAATGTGTTGGGCTGCCCCGCCGGCCTCTCTTTGCATGCGTAAACCTGGTTGGTAATCGCTGGGGCACTCAAACTGCGTGAGAGGTAGGGGGGATCATCTAAGGGTGTGAATGGCCTGGAGAAAATTGGCAGCTCCCACGCAAACGAGTGGCCATTGCTCCATTATCCTCAAGGCGCGCCTGCCCAGTGAGGACCGGCATGGTGTTCTGCAGAGAGCCGTGATATATTCCGCCAACCGATTGCCCTTTCGGGACGAAACTTGCCTCTCATTGGCCCCAATAACAGCCATAAAAAACGCGATGCAGGGTCACACGACAATCCGGCATCGGCTGAACCAAACTTGACTTGGATGGCGACTTCGTGACATTTTTTTTTTTACTTCTATCCCGTAGATCTCAAACAAACACTTTCGCCCGCTCAGTCCTCCGGATACATATCCGTACACGACCATGTATGTACATACATACTATACACAACATATAGGAGCGTGGCGTTGGTCAGCATGTCCAGACCCCGACGATGCCGTCCTGGCGGCCCTCGACCATGTAACCGTCGCGGATCCGCACGCGCTCTACCACGGCGGGTTCCCTTTCTTGCTCGGTCTCGACCGCGCCCGCACCGCAATCCCAGTGCCGCCCTTCAACCTTGTCGTACACCTTTGACCACGTCCTCGCCAGCGGCACACACAATGCGGCGGGTGTCAAACATCATGCTCGTGATGGGGGTGGTCGTACGCAAAGGCGTCGTGGATGATCCGGTGCGCAAGTCCCATATCTGTAGTTACGGTTAGTATGGCATCACGCTAGGAAAGTCGTGAAGAGAAGGAGAAAGGTAGCATACCCGTATGCTCCTGTCCAAGCTACCTGTCACCAAATGCACATCGTCAAACTGGAGACAAGTCACTGGCCCCGTGTGGCCCACGAGACTACGGGAGACCTGTCCACTCCGCAGATCCCACAGCCTGACCATGCCATCTGCCGTGCCGCACGCCAGCGCCGACTCAAACACCTGCAGCGCACCGACGAAATCAGCCGCCGTATCCGGCGCCCGGGAGGTCTGCCGCCAGGTACTGTCACTTGTCGAGAGCGCCGAGGCTTGTGCAGCGGCCCACATCACATCTAGCGTTTGAACGCACCGTCCCTTCTCCAGGTCCCACTGCCGCAGCGTCTTGTCAGCCGACCCAGAAACTAGAACATTGTTACGGAAATGCAGTGCTGTGATTTCGTCCAAGTGCGCCTCTAGGGTAAACAGCGGGCAATCAGACATGCTACCAGCGGGGGGGTCGACAGGATGGTCGTCGGGGTTCTCGAACGCAATGGCGTCCTCGTCATCCTCATCATCCTTTCCGAACTGGCTACCTTGCGGGTCGTAGTGAGCCTTGCTAAGATCCCATAGCCGGATCGTGGCATCCATGGAGCCCGTGGCGAGGAAGTTATCTTCAACTTGGAGCGTGCGGACCGAGGCCGTGTGACCCTCCAGCACGCCGATGCAGCGCCCTGCGTTGAGATCCCATACTCGGACGGCGTCGTCCATCGCGGCGGTGACCATCAAGCCGAACGGGGCATCGAAGTCAAGGGCTGTGATGCTATCGTGATGTGCACGCATTGAGCGAATCATGGTACCCGGCTCGAAGTGCTCGTGAAGGATCGGCATAGTTTTCCGCCGGATGCTGCGCGGTTTCTTCTTGGAAGAAGTACTGCCTACCGAGGGCAGCTTCTCGTAGACGGACTGAGACATGAACCCGGGCGTGTCGCCTTTTTCGGATGCCGCATCGTCTTCCGATTTAGGCGTATGCGCCAGCTCCCCGGCCTCATTCGCCAACTCCTGCGCCTCTTCTAACCTACCCTCGACTTCGACAACTGCTAACAGTTAGTATCACAGGGGGTGCGGAGACGCTGAAAAAAAAAAAAAAAAAGGCACTGACTGTCATGCTCCAGTATCGCCTCGTCCTGTTCCAAAGTTGCTAGCCTCTCGAGGATAATCCGGCGCATACCGGCCAAGTTCTCCATCTTGGCATCGATCTCCCGGATCTCGCTGCTCGCCATGTTCTTGCGGATGCCAAGCATCTCGAATTGGTGCATCATGGACGCCTTCTCCTTCTTGAGCCTCTGTACCGACTCAGGAGTCCCATCGGGTATCGTTGGGCCTTCGTCGAGCAATTTTCTTCCTCGCGAAACCCGCCGCCTGTGTTTTTTACCTTCCTCGGTGAAGTCGGGGAAGCTGGCCTGGAACCCCTGAAACAGGGAGTAGGAGCTATCACCGTCGGGGATGTTCTGGAGCAGTTCATCTGGCACGTACGCCAGCGCCCGGGACTGAATTTCCTTGGTCGAGAGGCGCGACCGGACCATGTCCGTCGGCGTCGTGCGTGCCATGGAGAACATGCTCCGCTGCAGTCCCGGCCTGCGCAGCTGCCGGTGTACCTCGGTCATGGCGGTTTGGTATGTTGGATTCGAAGCAGGATCGGCTCGCGGGGCTATGAGATGAGCGGCCGTGGTGGTGACTTTGCGACCGAATGCTTCGAGCCCTCGCGTCTGCCGTGGCGATGTGTCAGTACCCATCGCATACGTGGCATGTTGTTTTCCCTTTCACAATAACCTTCCGTTGCGTCCCAACTGCCTCCCAACCGCAACGGCGCCGGGACGGAGGGTATCTTGCTCACAGATATCACCGAGGACTCGTCGTCAAATGACGACAGGTCCGGAAATTCATTGTCGTGCCCCGGGTCGTCCATCCGTCGACGCCGTAAAACTTTGCCCCCCTTCGGCCCGCCCAAATTCAATCCGGCTAGAGCGCGCTTTCGCAGCCCGGAGCCGATGAGGAATTATAGAGCGGCAATCTTGATAAATATCAGGAGAAGTCCGAGGCAAATTGATGTTTCGGAGGTCTCGTGTCGTTGTCAGTAGCTAAGAAAATGCAAAGATTGATTGGAGCAAAATGCCCCTCGAGGACAACGGTGGGTGTCATTCATGGATGCGGCACAAAATTGTTAGACCGGCAATCCATGCGGCGAGAAGGTTGCTTGGTGGGTGGGCGGGCTAACCGGACCCCCCCGGACCGGGGCAGGTGTTCCAGCTTTGCGTGCCAAGGTGGACCTCAGGGCAACAGGGGTGTCACATTCCCTCCGAGTCTGCGTGGCTGCCAGATGGGATGGCATGCCAAGGCCCCAAAAATTGTTCGGTGCGTCACACAGATCAGTGTTTGTTAGTGGGCTGCTCCGATTCGGAACCTGGACCCAAAAGGCGTTCAAAAGTGAGAGAGTCGTTAACCGCAGAGTCAACACCGACTTTTCCTTTTCTCCCAACTTCGAAAACAACCCTGAATAGTATTTTTAATAACCCAGCGCCACCATGGACTCGTTAATCGACCTCTCCGAGTCTTCCAAGGCTCTTGACTTGTCTCGCATTCGCTTCCAGTTGATGTAAGTTCAGTCAAGACATCCCCCACCACTTCCCTCCTTTCGCCCCGCTCCTTCGATGGTGAGGGTTGCCCGGATGCTCACACATGTCGTCAGCCGGTTGGAGGACACCATCACCTTCCACCTGATCGAGCGCGTGCAGTTCCCGCTTAACCCCAACATCTACACCCCAGGCGCCGTACAGATACCCAACAGCAGCCTAAGCTTCATGGACTGGTACCTGGCGGAGCAGGAGAGGCTGCAGTCACTGATCCGCCGCTACGAGTCCCCCGACGAGTTCCCCTTCTTTCCGGACGCCGTACAGAAGCCCATCCTAGATTCACTCGATTACCCCCGCATCTTCGTACCCCAACGACGTCAACGTCAACGACAAAATCAAGAAGTTCTACATTGAAAAATTCCTACCCAAGGTGTGTCCGGACTTTGGGCGCGGGGACAGGGGCGTGTCGCAAGAAAACTACGGGTCGTCGGCGACGTGCGACATCGCCTGCTTGCAGGCCCTGTCGAGGCGCATTCACTTATGGCAAGTTCGTGGCCGAGTCTAAGTCTCCAGTCCTGAGGCGGACAAGTTTTACCCGCCTTATCACGTGCTGGAGACAGGGCAGGCCATTGGAGACGCCATCAACGAACAAGGCGGTCGAGAAGAAGGTGCTGGAGGAGGCTACAAGCTCAAGGCGCAAACGTATCGGTACCGACCCTTTCGCTGGGGGCCCGACGGGGTGGGATCCCAGAGCAAGAATCAACGTGGGACGCTTGTCGTGGACTATTGTATTGAGGACTTTGGTCATCCCTCTGACAAAAGAGGTTGAGGTTGAGTACTTGATGCAGAGGTTGGAGCCCGTGGAATAAAAAAGCCTTGATTTGTTTTTGTTGCCCATTTTTGCTGCCAGCAAATCTGCTATGTCGCTGTGCCAATATATTCGGCGATCGCCTGTACGGCGCCTTGGAACTTGCTCGCCTCGATCAGCATCATGAAACCGCACGGCTTGATGCCCATTTCCTGGAACGCCCTCTTGCTGTCCGCGACGGCCTCGCCCTCCTTGGTGAAGTCGTACGCCCCAGATGCGACCGCGTGCTTGCGCATCTCGTCATCCTCCGGGTGGAAGAACTGCAGCTCGGCCTCCTCCCGCGCCTTCTTCTGCTTGCGCTCGCTCTGGTCCAGGCTAGACGCCACCTCGCGGTAGGTACGCGACACAACCAGGTAGTGCGAGAACTCGTACGGCTCCTTGTCCTCGACGGCCGCCTCAATCTCGTCAATCATGCACGTCCACATGGGCGGGATCACCTCGGCCGGCATGTTGAGTAGCCGTTCCGCCAATACCAGCCCCACGTGCTTGTCCGAGGCCAGCAATTCCGGCAGGACGCCCGCCAGGCTGTCATTGCTCTTGGCGCGGTCCGTCAGGTACTCGATGAGCTGCGCGACGGGCTGCTTCGCGCGGTGCTCCTGCAGATTGAGCACGGTGAGGAAGGCGTAGGCGTCGTTGGCCTTGTCGTCGACTTTGCAGGTCGAGCCGATCGTGTTTTGCTCGATTATGAGGTCGCTGAGTGCGGAGAGGTTGAAGAGTTGGGCGTCCGTGTCGAAGAGCTGTCGCAGAAGGGTCTTGACGCCGTGGAAGTCGATTTGCGAGTCGTAGTTGAAGAGCTCGAAGTCTACGTTGACAATGTCCATATTCTACGATGCCGCAGATAGCGTCAGTCAGAAAAGCAACGGCTCAGGCGAATTGCCTCTCACCTCATCGTCCGAGCTATCATCATCATCCCGCTTGGTGACGGCGGGGTCGGCCATCTCGACGTCCCCCTGCCCGTCGGCATCTCTTGAGCGCTTCTTTCCCATTGTGTGGTTTGTCGAAGCACCGAGGTACTCGGTATGTATATGAGCTGCTTCAGATGTTCGATGGTGGTCTTCAATTTCGTCCAAATCCGCGGGATTGTGAGCTGTGCTTCGCCGAGGCCGGTGATTGTGGGGACCTTGACGACCAGTCTCGAAATTTTATGGGCTGCCCCTCGTCGTGGTTGTGATAAGAAAGCTGGAGGGACTTATCCCGACCCTAACCCTGTCTCAACCTCTTTCCGAACCAAAGAGCGGAAATCGGCCCCTGAGCCGCCGATACCCTCATGAACTAATATCATACAACTTAGATCAACCCCTTGAATCGACCCTTGCTCTCCGCCTAACACTCTCCGAAGTAGCCCTTCGCCAAATATCCCACATCCTCCAATATTCTCCCAAGTTTCCCTAGACTCCACTGCAAGTATAGCTCGCTTGGCTGTTTTTGGATCACACGACGCCCTCCTCCCATGGGGTATCTCCGTTCACATTCCGGGCACGTGGAGGCTCACCAAGAACTTACACGCGCCGGACTAGAGAAGGCCACCCTGTAGGTCGCAGCTCTTAAACCTGCTCAGAACCCCAGCCGGCATCGGCCTCACGCATGTTTGCGGGCGGCTCAATGGAGGGGATGAACTCGAGGGCGACGTATGCGATGCCGACCAGGGCAACAACGGAGCCGGGAGCGATCCGGGTCCAGTGATCGCGGAACAGGATGGAACCGACAAAGATGTAAACTAAACACAAACACGGTCAATCTGAGCTCTTGGCGGACGGCGGGGCATGGGAAACATACAGATGCCACGGCCGATGAAAGAGAACAGGAACGAGGCGTAGCGGCCGACCTGGGGGGGAATCTGGAACTCTATACCGAAACGTTAGTCCCCAACTCCGCCGAAATGCGAGTGTACTTCGAGGTATCGTACCGAGCAGACCGGTTGCTATCATGGCATATTAGCATCGCATTCCTTCATCATCCCCCTCTGTCCAAAACAACCGGCAAGACTTACCCAACCCAAACACGATCACATAAACACCAACAATCGATGACTGACTATAACCCCCCGTCCGTCAGTACCCGCCGCTCCCTTCAATCCCTACCCCCAGGAAAGGCGAACGTACAACCCGATGGGAAAGAACTGCGCGATACCTCCAAGGATCATCGCCACCGCGACGACGAGGTTAACAATGCGACTACAACCAGCATCGCAGAACGTTAGCCATCAACCCCTCAAAAAAGTAACCATCACCCCTCCAATTCCCCAACCAACGCGCCCTGTACCTTGCGCCCGCGCGCGCACCGCAACGTCACATCACGACCCTGGACGGGGACGGACGGGATAGGCCCCTGCACCAGAAACCGGACGAAGCAGCGGGGCGCGCACGCAGGTGGGGCATTCAAGGCGGTTCCCTTTACGCAGGGCGCGTCGGCGGGTGTTGTTGTTGTTGTCGTTGGAGGAGTGGCCGGTTGGCTCTTGGGAAAACGTACAATGAGTCGGAGAAGTCCATCGTGGGCGATCTGTCTTTCGGCGCGGCAAAGCTCAAACTGGTTCGGCGGTGGTTTTAATTGCGTTTGCGGCGGCGTGGGCGAGGTCTCGTTCGGTGTTGATCTGTGTTATGCGCTCGCGTGCGGGGTGTGCCCTGGGGTTGAGTTGCGTTTGGGGTGTCGAGGTTATTGGCGATGTAGTTTTCACTTGAAAGGGGGAAGGAGGCTGATGGTCGAGCTTGTCGACACTTGGAAGCTGGAAACAAGCTGGCTGGGGAGCTTGCGAAACAGTGGGCCTTGGCGGCTTGATGCGACGCACTTGGGCTTGGCTCCGCCACTCCGCTGCGCGTGGCTTCCACCAGGAGGTCTTGGCAAAGACGCCCGCTCGAATACCTAAATTATTTGGTAGGACCTCCAGGTAGGATCAAATGGGATGAGGTTACATAAATCATGTGGTGATTGCAACCCCCCTCATATAACTTTAAAACAAACTGCTGCGGCATGGATGCTTGAGACATTAAATCGCATGAACCGTTCACATTTGGAGAGCAAGAGTGTTTGAGCTTGGAGTGGCATTGTACGGGATGATGTCCTAGGCGCGCTAGACACTAACGGCGCATAGTAAATAGTAGCTCGCCTTCGTAATACCCCTCATCCTCTACCTCCCCCTTCCGCTACTGCTCTGGTTCCTGCACAAGCGCATTGTCCTCCACCCCCCTGGCGGCAGTGATCTTCCCAACGTTTTTAGAATACTCGGCATTTGCTTCCGCCGTGGAGGTGTCAAGAGGATTGGCCGCCATGGGTTCTGGGATCTCGCTAAGCCCTCGAACATTGCGGCCGCAGGTCTTGCCGGCACTTACTCAACACCGTGGAACGACCAATTTGTCGAGGACGTCCGCCGAACCTTCCAAGCAACGGGCATTTTCTGCTTCTTCCCGATCCAGTATCTCAACGACAATGGTATCGGTGCCGCAGCCAGCTTCCTGTCCATTTGGTTTGGTATTTTGAGTGCTTTTTTGGAGTTGGGTATCTCGGGCGGCCCAGTGGTGGATATTCCCAAAAAGCTTTACAATGTTTTTTTTCACTAACTATTGTCTTTTCCGTATTTTCTTCGCACCCTGCTTTCAGGGCGCGTTGGAGGGCGTCTCTCACCAGCGCCTAATCTAATCAATGAGAGCAACTTCTGCTGCTATGCTGCTTTTTATGAACATCTTGATAATGATTGAGAGTACGGGTTGTTTGAGCTACCGATCAGTTGAGATCGTTACTAGTTATGTCGGGGAAGCAACTCTGCGTCACATGTATGGGGATGGACAACGGTGGACAACAGCGAGTGTCCATCGGGCAGCGTCAGGAGGACAGAAAGTAGTCTCAGGTAGTTGAGCAGCTCCCTAACAGAACTTAGTGCAGTTGCAACGGCTTGGCATGTGGTTAGCTCGAGAACATCATATTCCTTTCTACATATTGTATATGACCTTCGTGTACCTTCCCTCCCTAATCCAGAAGTGCCCATCCTGTATTTATTCCCCCAGCTCAGCAAGCTCCCTTTCTTTGGCCGCTAGCAGCTCCCTCATCATCTCTCTTTCCCGTTCTAGCATCGCACGCTTCTCCGCCTTAGATCTCTCTCCTTCGCGTGCATGAACACCTCGCGGGCTCGGAAGCTGATGGGGGGCTGATGTATAGCCACTGGTAGGGTACGGCCCCGGACTCGGTGAGGAAGTTGCCGTACTGCCAGGTCCCCCAAAGTACTGAAGTTGTCGTCCGGGGGTGTCTTCCGGTGCTGGACTTGTTGCGGTCGGGTTGAGAATCGATTTGATAGATGAGAGGCGTTTTGGTTGATCTGCTTCGTTCTGATAATGGGGTTCCATGTCGGTGGCAGAAAACGATCGTTTCCGTGGTGGCGAGAGAAAGGACGCCGGCGACAGTGACGACTGTCGGTCGTCCGGCATTGGGATGGAGGTTAAGGGGGCCAGCCGGTTCTCGTTAGTAAGCGATTCGGGGGTGTGATGAGGTTGATTCGGGTGGGATGAGTGATATTGCCCCAGACTGCTCAGCGGTAGCGGAGACGTCTGTCGATTCTGCATAAGGATTGTCTCCGGGACCAGGGTCAAGGACGGTTCCTGACGCCGTCGAAGCCCCAAGTTTACAGACCCATCTGGATTCATTGATCCTCTTTCCTTTGGTGTTTCCGCTTCCGAGGGCGGCGAGTCTGCACGTTCGCTGGGCGTACTTTCTGAATCCTGGCCACCCGATGCGGGTATGACTCGTTTCCTTCGTTTGATGATGGCCTTTTTCATTGTCACAGGCCTATGTACGCCATGAAGCTTGTAGTAGAGTCCTGCAATCTAGTCAGCACAGCACCCCGGGCGTGGCGGGGAAACGAGTCCCTACCGCAAGCATTGCAAATGGTATGACCAGCTTCATCCCTCCGCCAGAGAGGAGTGATTGTCGTGCCACAATTCTGACATGCGATAACGACCGTGGTGTTTTGGTTTTGGAGTTGCAAAGCAGCAACATCTATCGGTGTCGGCTCGTCCTGACTGCTCGGGGACTGTTTGGATGCTCCCTGGCACTTTAGGACATTCAAGCTCGCACTTTTCGAGACTCGGTTGTTGAACGCCGGACAGCCACTGCATCCCTCGGCACCGCCCGTGCCATTACATCTCCCTCCGCCCGGGCATGATCCCGACGGCGTCTGATCGGCGGCGACATACTTGGCTGCTGGTGCATTCGGCAGTAACGGGACTTGAATTTTGGGCGAGAGCTTGATGGGTGAGTGTCGAGCGCCGCTTCCAGGGCCGGCGGGGGGCCGCTTCAGGTTGATTGGACGGGAAGCATTTCTAGCCTTCAAGTATAGTCCGCACGCGTTGCAAATCGTTTCGCCCTGCGGCGATCTCCTCCACAGAGGCGTTCTCGTCGTGCCGCAATTACTGTACTACGTTAGAAGGATATAAAAGATCACGAACATTAGTTGGCGCACCTGCAAACTTGACCCGTATACCCTTGATTAGGCTCAGGAGGTGGTCTTCCTTGATTTGATGGGCTTGCCGCCGTGTGATGTGTGGGGCTTAGAGGAGCCGGTGAAACGGTAGAGATGTGTGTTGGTGCTGGTGAAGTCCTCGCGTTGCGCCCAGAGGAAACTTGCCCCTCGCAAGGAACGACCTCGGGCCGTGGACGTTGTGTCGAGTCCCCAAGATCCCTCGAAGACGTAGGCCTTGTAGGGAGAGCGGTCCGGCGAGGAGCGGGTGCGGTTTCCGCCAGAGGATGCGGTGCCGAAGGCTTGGGATTTTCGGACAGCGTCATCTTGGGGACTTCAGAGCAACAACCAAACTTCAACGGCGGTTCGCTGGGAAGACGGGAGAAGCGTGGGTCGCCTGGACAACAAACACCTCAGCAGATGGGGACAAGGCAAATGGCCGCGATGGACAGATCAAGTCCGATGTCGCCAATTGTTGCCGTCTCCTAGACTATTGGGCGATCGGGGTCGCTTTGGGCGATGCGGGTATCAAAGAAGGAGAGCCACCGTCCAAGTGTGGTCGAGGTACGCCACAGAGCTCGATCGGAAGGTGAATTCGTGGTCAGGGGGAAAAGTGAAAGAGTACCGCTGTAGTTCAAGAATGCGAGGCTGAAGAAGCAAGTAGCCTGGGGCTAGTGTCGCTGTCGTTCTCAGGGGTTTGAACAAGGAGGGAAGGCGAACTGCATAATCAACTCCTGCGGTCCCCGACCCACAGTACTGGTTATCAGATCTTCGCCAAACGAAGGCGGGCCACTTGAGTTCGAAAGTGCCCTCTCGGCGGAAAAGTCCAGATAATCAAAGTGGTATTCGAGAAGGGTGGCGGGCTGAAATGGCGATTTGGGATGGTACAGTTGAATTTCGAAGCCGAGTGAAATGGGCCAGCCGCGAGAGGGCGTCAAGATCTGGAACTGGAGATGACTGGCCTCTCGAATAACTCGCTGTTGAGCGGCGATTTTGAGGGAGGAGCAGCTCGATGCCCTGTTCTCAACGACAGGAGCCTGGCAGGGTGCAAGCGAAGATGACCCGCTCTTCCAATCTCTGGCGAATCAGAGGTTGTGCAATGTCAGCAGACAAGGGAACGACAGGGGGTCGACAGGCATCAGGGCTGCAAATTACGTCGGCCAAAGCCAGCTCTTTCCAGAAAACTTCCCTTCGGACGGCCCGAGCTGAGACGTTGATTGACCGGCCCCCAGCCAGGCCGGGTGTGATTGTTTCTCTCATTGCTCTGCGTGTTCTCTCTATTCGTTACTAGTGGTGACCGCCAGCAGACGCCTCATCAGCCAGAACGCCTTGGCGCTGCTATGATCTGCGATTTGGGGGTCGCATCCCCACCGCCTCTTTGGATTAGGTTTACGGTGCGAATACTTTGAGCCAAAACGGCAATCTCACACATTCGACCTCAAGAAGTTGTACGAATCTGTGAGCAATAGGAAACTTTGTCCCCGAGAGCTCCGAGACACTTGCGGGACAAAATGACCACTCGCAACCCTTGACGAACGCGAGATTATCAGATCATCTGTCATCCCCGTTCATTTCTGGGACTTTCGCTTTCCCCGGACTTGGCTGGGCCCGGCTCCGGATTCGTGTCGGAATGGGTGGATGTCGCTGCGCCTCAACCTTTTTGGGCCCGATTATCGGTTGGTGTTCCTATTCGATGCCAAAATCCATCAGCAGATGCCAAGCGTTTTTATCAGTCGGATGCGACGCAGCGATCTCGGAGAACAACCCACATTTGCACCGCTGACTAAGGAACGGGGAACGGAAATGAGCACACAACATCCTGCCAAATAGCAGAGAAGATGAAGAGACAATGGACGATGTCATTCGGCTCAATACATTGCCGATGCTGCGGCTCCGCCATGAACAGCCCAGGGTCGAAACCAACTCCGAATTCCACCGACCGGAAGAGAGTCCCGGTTTACGAATAGGTACCATGGGATCTATGGTGGAGTAGGGTGTACATCCACCAGTTCCAACTACGAATAGTTAGATGTTAATGTTGGGGACGATGTGTTGAAATTACTACTTCGTACACCGAGGGACCTTGTGGCCGAATTTGCTTTTATTTCTTCTGATTCTAGAAAGACATACGAACCTGATAGGTACCGATTTCGGAAGGGAGGCTGGATGAAACAGAACGGTTAAGGACCACCGATAATATTACAGGAACACCTGGGTTGGGTATATGACTCTCGAACTTATCAAAGCATCTGGTATCTATCTGTTTTCCCGCGAACTGAAACTCCAAGCCAGCGATGAAACTGAACACCACCAATTTCGACCGTTCCGCCACTACCTCACAAATCGGGATCGACCTCCCGGTCCAAATGCTCTGCTACAACGACGCCTGTCTCCCACATACTGTTCAAGGCATCCCTTGCCATATTGATGGGGAGAGCGATGGATAAAGCATTCCATAGCCACTTGCCGCGATCATTCAAATGGACCTGCTCCAGAACGACAACCGGGTTGGCCGAGGAACTCGGATCGTGGCTGGCAAGCATAGCAATGTGCTGGATGACAGCAAAGGCATACAGGGTTGGCGGCGCTGCGATTAAACCCTTGCCCCCCTTGATCCGCAACCGGTCGCGCCAGCGCTGGCCCAGCCCCAGCAATCTCCTCTCGAGGTCGCGCGAAACGGCGTGTGTGAACCGTCTGGCGCGCTGTGCCTCCGCGGCCTCAAAAGCTTCGACGGCCTTGTCTTTGTATTCATCGGTGCCCGTCATCTCTCCTTCCTGGTCTTCGTTGTTGCTGACGGGTGAGGGCGCAAAATCGCTTTCCGCCCCTTCGGAGTCGTCGTCGGCTCGGAAATCCGGCGGGTACGCTTGCACTAGCAAGTTAAGTAGTGTTTTACGCATGTCGATCCCGGCGTCCCGCATGGCCCATCTGATATAGCCCCGGATCCCCCTCACCACGGTTTTTGCAATCTTATCCTGGTTCCCAATCTCCTCGTAGTCCGTGACTGTTTGGGAGAGATAAAACAGGGACTCGAGAGCTTTGCCCGCTGTATCGGTGTTAGTAATCTCGAGGGGGATACTAAGATGGAGAGGGAGCTAGCTTACCAGCTACTTCGCTCCCATATGCATGGATAGCCACGCGCTTTTTGCTATGCTTGGGCGTGAAAACGTGGTCGAGGTGTGGTTGTGTGATCCCCCACATCTTGAAGTTCACCCTCCACCACGACGGCATCATGGGATGAAGGCCGCGCATGTAGATCAGCTTGTGTAACTTCTTCTGGTCCGCATTCCAACCATCGCTGCCCTCCATGCCGGCTACAGCCTCGTCGTATTCGTCCATAGTCAGCGGAAGGGTGCCGTAGCCGTCCCAGTCACTGCTGGTGCTGTGGCCGTCGTCTTCATATCCATCTACGAGGTCCTCGTAGTCGATATCCGCCTCGTCCTCGTCCTCAACATACTGGACATAGTCGACTTGCTGGCTCTGCTGCGAAGCGACTGCCACTTTTCGAGCCCAAGCAAGATTCGGCGGTGGATGTATAACACCACCTCGAAGGGCGGCGTCATACCCGATCTCAATTGAAGGGCGGCAGGGACTGTCATATAACGTCTCATCTCCAATGTTTTCAGTCCAATCTATGTCCTGCATTTCCACGTCTGTGCCTTGCGAATGGGGTGTCGCTATGGGCAAATCACCCAAAGCGGTGATTGTTTCCATAATCCTTGGTCTATGCGGCGGAGGCGGGAAAGTGAAATTCATGGCTATACACACGAGTCACACCCGAGCTGAAGACGAGGAAGGAGTTGATGTTGTCAGGAACTTTGTGACGAGTTGCTGAGCTCGAGTCGAGGGCGGTGACGAAATCGACGGGGCGGCGAATGTTTCACTCCCAGACCTGGTCACGACTGAGTTGAGTTGAGTGGTGGAAGGCTCGAAGAGAAAGAAGGAGTATTCTCGGTTTCCATTTCCGTCGTCACTGAGAAACCGAACGTCAGGGTTGGGAACAATGGCAAGACCAACCGCGGAAAACGGGGTGGCACCTTCTGAATACAAAGACCGATTTTGGGCACCTATTGATTTACAGGTTTTGAACGTTTCCGGCAGCCACGACAGCGAGGCCTTCATCGCTTAAGAGCCCGAGCCGCCTTAAGGTGTAATGGGCGGGGAACCGGCGAATGAGCATGAGACAGCAGAATCAATCCACCATGTAAGGCGAAAAAATCAGTCTGAGATGTCATCTGTACCTGCATCATTGCCAACACCCTGCCACTGCAGGGCTTGCAGATGCCCAAGGGCGGGGAATGTCCAAGTGCAACCCTTTGGAATCGCTTCATGGAGGGAGCCTTACTTCTCGATTACATCCAAGACTCAAAATATACAGATGGAGGCGTGGAGAAGGAAAACCACAGCAACAATTTTGAGGTCAAGAACTGGAAGCCCAGATTCCTTGTTCGGCGATGCTGGGTCCAGGGTCTCAGCTGCCTCAACTGCCGTTGGCTGGCTCGGCCGGCTGGCAGGGCTTGGACCGTGCGCTCAGAGAAACACGCTAAAAGATCCAAAAGATCCCTGCAATGAACTAAATGACTTGCAAAGTCGCATTAGGCGACTTTTTGCTCCTTGTTGCACTTGGACTTCGCCCTGTCATCGCGACGCGCCTTTCCCAGTCTCAACTTGCTTTCCCGCCACCACCACGTCGTCACCCAGCATGGCGATAGACTTCAGTCGGATGACGGTGGTGGAGTTGCGCCAGGAGCTAAAACGGCGCAACCTACCGCAGAACGGGAAAAAGGCGGACCTTATCGACCGGTTAGTTACGTTTGAGAGTGACCGAACATCACCAGAGCCCCGCGACGACTCAGTGGAAGACGATCACGAAGCGAATGGTTCGCCGCCTGAGAAGGGTGTAGCGGAGGAGCAGGACACCGCCCTCTCGCCTCTCCCACGAGAAGAAGATTCTGCAGAGGCACCGCATCCCTCAACCGCTGAGGCAGCTGCGCAAACTCCAATCACCAACCAAGACACAGACAGCACACCCGCAGCTGCCATTGAGCCCGCCGAGTCGGCCGAGGTCCCAGTTCCAGCACAGGACTTGGCTCCCAAGGATGTTGACGAGGCTGCCAACACCACGCCAATCCCTGCCACCGAAATCATTACGGACACTGTGAGCCGCAAACGTCGGTCGCGAAGCCCCCCGCCCGAGATCGAGTCATCCAGAAAGCGCGCGCGACCTAGCAACGACCGACCTGGTGAAGAAAATATTCCTCTGCACACCAACAACCTCCGCTCTCAGGCGACCCGCGAGTACTCGCCTGTGGCTCAACCTGTGCCTACTCCGCAAACGGCGGCAGAGATCCACGCAACTACCCTAGAGACTTCTCCGTTCGAGAAAGAGGATCACCACGAACCCACCGAAGAGCGCAACTGGCAGCACCACCGAGCGCCTACCCCGCAACGCTACCAAGAGCAATCGGGCGACTCCGTCGACGAGCCGATCCCAGAGTTCGAAAGAGACGTTGCGCCAGCACAGCACCCCGCCACATCTGCACTTTACATAAAGAATTTTATGAGGCCTTTGAGGGAGCCGATGTTGCAAGACTACCTGGTTGACCTTGCCGCATTGCCTGGTGCGGCACCCGATCCGAGTTGTCTTGTTGATTTCCATCTCGACCAAATTCGCACTCACGCGCTTGTGAGTTTCACCAGCGTTTCTGCAGCCTCGCGAGTCCGGACAGCTTTGCACGGGACTGTGTGGCCCAACGAGCGCAACAGAAAGGAACTTTGGGCAGATTTCATCCCCGAGGATAAGGTGGCCGAGTGGATCGAGCGAGAGCGTTCTGAAGGTGGACGATCAAATCGTTGGGAAGTTCATTACGAACCCGACGAGGAAGGAATCATCACAGCCAGTCTGGTAAACGCAGAGATGGAGCCCATCCGTCGCAATTCCACGAGGCAGCCTCTCGGCCCACCTCCGGTTCCGACCGGGCCAGCGCGCAGCTACCCAGGCGTCGAGGGAGCGCCTTTGGGTCCGCGTGGCCGAGGAACGAACCACTACCGCCAAGCGCAAATGCCGGCATCGACCGTAGCCACTGCTGGCGACCGCGACCGCAACCGCGACTATAACGATAATAACGACCGCAACCTTGACTACAAGACTACGCGCGCATACCCGTCCATTCAATACAAGCCCGTCCCGGAGGACGTCGCCAAGCGCCGGTTGGACAACATGAATGCGCACATCACCAGGGACCGCCGTCGCGACTTGGGCCGCCCGGATGAGATCAACAGGTACACATTCGAAGATGGCGACATGTTTGTCGACCGCGGTAAGGAAGCTTTCGTCGGCATCCGCCATCCGTACCGCGAGAACAATCGCCGCCGTGCGGGCATGGGTCGCGGCGGCGGCAACCGGGGCCCACCCCGCCGCCGCACCCCTTCTCCCCGCCGGCCCGTACGTGATGACGGCGGCTACCGCGGCGGCCGCCGCAACGATTATGACCGCAGTTACCGAGATCGGGACGACGATCGCCGCGACCGCCGCGACGACCGTGACAGGGACTTTGGCCGCGACCGCTACCGTGACGAGGTCCCTCGCTCGCGCTTTGACGGTCAGCCGCTTCCCACGTTTGGCGGTGGTGGCGGCCGCGGTGGAAGATGGGGAGGTGGTGGTGGTGGTAGACGGGACCGTTTCTAGGGCACCCCTTAACCGCTCCGCGGGTGGCTTGGCACATGCCCCGTCAACCCCAAGCTCATTTAATTAGTATCAACAACCACCTCAAGCCCCGGCACATAGCCTAATCCCCCCAGCCAGATTTCACGAACGGCTAGCTGCTAGCATCGATCCCCTCACGGCGATCTTAAACGGCCGCCTAACTTGAGAAAGCTTGTCCCGAACTAGGGGCAAAACGAACCCATGGATATATACCAAGATTTGCTCGCCACCCCATTACAAAGAAAAACCTCTTCGGTTTCGGAGACTTGCAAGTCAAACGATACAACGACGAGGCGGCCAGGCCAGCTAGAGAAAAGGAGGCAACCGTCGCCAGCATGTGTTTGTAGACGTAGGACGAACGGCTGACTCGCTATCGGGGCGAGGGATTCCCGGGCTCTCCATCTTATCTCTAGCGATCTTCATGCATGTAAGGTAGAGGAATTCACGGGCTCACTCGTGGATGTTGTCAAAAGTTTGAGCTGTACGAAATAGATACCCTGGTTTTAAAGTTCCCCGTTTTTGATGCTGTGCCTGTGCCGTTCTTTGATCGATAAAATTAGCTCGAGCAGGAGCTCTAACATTTGAACGCATGGTGAACATCAGCGGCTACAGAACGGCCACAAGAGAAAGATGAAGGCAACAATGTATCACCCAAGACGACCATCCAGTACCAGCAAAAAGTCACTTTTAGCATCTACGCAAGGTAAGATACATGGAACTGATATCAATTTGCTCATCAGATGACCCAAGACCCCTCCTCATACTCCCATGAAAAGATGCCTCAAAACCATTGAATGACGAAAGGAACGCTAAACCCTAGACCCGTAACCGAACCATGCAAGCAAGCCAGGAACGAAGAAACTCAAATAGCGTTTGCAGCCAGGGGCGAAGGCTCGACACCGACGCGCTCCTTACTAAGGATGTCGATCATCAGCTGTGACGGCCTGTTGTCACGGTAGACCTTGGAATTGTCCTTGTACATCTGGACGTTCTCCAGGTACTTGTCAAACAAGTATGAGCTGTCCATGGGGCCGCCCTTCGCCTCGGGGTGGAACTGGGTCGAGAAGATGGGGCGAGTCTTGTGCATCATGCCCTCGTTGCTGCCGTCGTTGAGGTTCACGAAGTACTCCTTGAACTCGCTCGGCAGGGTGCTAGCGTCGACGGCATAACCGTGGTTCTGGCTGGTAATGTGGCACTGGCCAGTGGTCAAGTCGAGGGCTGGAATGTTGTGAGCACGATTGCCGTACTTGAGCTTGATGGTCTGGGCGCCAACGGCAAGAGCGAGGAGTTGGTGGCCGAGGCAGATACCCATGATAGGGACCGACGAAGTCTCCATTAGCCGGCCCAGATTGTAAACAGTCTCCTGGCAATGAGTCGGGTCACCGGGGCCGTTCGAGATGAAGACACCATCGAAGTTGTCGGCAACCTTGTGAATCGGGTAGTTGTAGGGGAAGACGGTGACAGACGCGCCGCGGCTGACCAGGCTGCGCAAGATGTTCTCCTTGACGCCGCAATCGATCAGGGCGACATGGAAGGTGGCGTTGGGGTTCGAAACGACGAACGGAGCCTTCGTGCTCACGCGCTTGACCAGGTTGATGGCACCAGGGTCAATGAAGCCCTCGTCCTCGTCGGCGTCGTACTCATCACCAATCGAGATCCTGGCAAGGGAAGAACCCTGCTCGCGCAAATGCGTGACAATGGCACGGGTATCGACACCCGAGATGACAGGGACGCCCTCGCGTGCGCACCACTCGCTCAGGCTCTCAACAGCCGTCCAGTGGCTGTATTTCTCAGCCACGTCGGCAACGACGACTCCGGCGCACTGGATATGGGGGGATTCGAAGTACTTGAGCAAGCCGTACTCGTCGCGCTGATTCGAGGGCACGCCGTAGTTGCCAATGAGGGGCTGCGTGAAGACCAGGATCTGGCCACGGTAGGAGGGGTCCGTCATAGACTCGGGGTACCCGACAAGCGAGGTGGTGAAGACAGCCTCGCCCGAAATGTTCGAGTTGGCACCGAAGGCTGTGCCATGGAACACAGGGCCGTCCTGTCACGGGAGAGTCAGTGGAGGCAAGGCCTGAAGTGATGCATCAAGCGACAACGTACCCTGATGGTCAAGGTAGCGTCAACGCCGGACGCGGCAGCAGTGGCCCTGGTGGTGTTGAGAACGGGCATAGCTCTGCCCTTGCTTCCGTCTACTGCCAGCCTGCTCAAGAGGCGGGCCTGGCCTGCGAGGCGAAGGGGGGCCTTGGGGGCGGCATGACCCAAGGCACGGGGGAGGCAGGGCGGCCAACGAAGTGAACATGCTGGTGATGGTACTTAGGAGGGAAGATAAAGGAGGATATAAAAACTCTAGTGTCGGACAGGGGGGCTCTTAAGCTGATAGGGCTCTCCAGAGATGGTCTAAAAATTCTCGTCAGTACGAAGCGGTGAGTCAAGACCTTGAATGGTTGGGCGGACCTGAGAGGTAGTCCTAACGCGCCAGCACATTAGCTTCTGTCCGTGGACTGCAAGTTGTCATGGAAGAGCCAGAAGAACGGGAGACCGAACGAACGGTCGAACGGGCCGCGGAAAGCCATAACTATAATCTTTTCGCGCCGGAGTCGGGAATGGGACATTCGGAAACAGAGGGGAGTGCACTGGTGGGGTCGCGGAGCACACGACCCCCCCGGTGCAGCGCAAACATACCTGAGAAGTGAAGATAGAGAGGCGACCTTTCATCAGCGCGGTTTCGATAAGGGCCAATTCAGTGCAAGTAGAGGAGCCGTTTCAGGGTCCACGATAGAAGAGAGGATGTGGTTCGTTTTGTGGTAATCCAAGTTCACCACTCACTGGAATTCCGCGTTGTCGAAGTTGACTCAGAAAAAAGAAGGAACGAAATGTCGGATTGGCGGGAGAAAAAAAATGACATTTTGTCGACTGGGCTCCACCGGATTTCGCACACCCCAGCCAATTGGCCGAGGCTACCATTGGCTGGGAACCCACAGGCACAGGGCCGAAAAACGGGCTCCTTCTCATTCTTTTGCTGCGGCTTCGGGCGCAAGGGGGCGCAAGGGCGCAACCAAAAGGTGATGGAGTCACACAGGGGTGGGGGAAGCTTTTGCGGGAAACCGAGGGCTCTGTTTCGCCTTCCGACTTGACTCGTTGGGCCAGATTGGAAACAACCGTCCGGAATTGGCAAAACGCCAGAGGCCAAATTGCGGGGCATGATTCTCACAAGGTAGGCATCCGCGTTAGAGGTAAGCAAAGTGTCCGTCGTTGGATGAGGGACACAAGAGCTAGACATATCGCATCATCGACCTGCTTGCCACTGCACAGCCTACCGTTAACTCTATTGCATGAGCTAGTCCATAATATATACAGGGTCTTATCCCATTTTTTAGATAGCGCCGAGCTCCTTGAGCTTGGAAATGAGACCATCCACGTCTTCGACCTTGCCGCCGCCTTGCCTCGCAGGTGGCTCTGTTCAGTGTTAGCCAAAGTATAAACGCCTGGGAAGTACCGCTTGCGCACAACTCACCCGTAACCTTGAGCACCTTGAGCCTCTTCTCCGCCGAAACGCCGAAGTCGGCCAGCGTCTTCTTCTCCAGCGGCTTCTTCTTCGCCTTCATGATATTCGGTAGGCTGGCATAGCGGGGCTCGTTGAGGCGGAGATCCGTCGTAATGATCATCGGCAGCTTCGCGCGCACCGTCTCCACGCCACCGTCCACCTCACGCGTGACGTTGACAGCGTCTCCCTCGCCGAACTCGACCTTGCTCGCCTGCGTTGCCTGCGGCCACCCCAGCAGCCCGGCCAGCATCTGCCCCGTCTGGTTGGCATCGTCGTCAATGCTCTGCTTGCCGAGGATGACGAGGTTGCTCTTCTGCTGCTCTACTGCCCCCTTGAGCAGCTTGGCAACGGCTAGGGGCTCGAGGTCGTCGCCCTCCTTCACGTCGACGTGAATGGCCCGATCGGCGCCCATGGCCATGGCGGTGCGCAAGATATCCTGGGCCTTCGGGGGCCCGGCGCTGAGGACGCAGATATCTTCAACGCCGCCGGGGGCCCGGGACTTCTCGCGGATGCGCACGCTCTCCTCGACCGAGAGCTCGTCGAAGGGGTTCATGCTGTGCTTGACACCGGCCGTCTCGACGCCGGTTTGCGCCTTGTTGACGCGCGGCTTGACCTAGATCGGGTGAGCAAAGTCAGCGGGGGCCAGTTCATTATGGACGCATCAGATCGGGAAGATGTAGTCGCGCGGGACCGAACTGATCGGACGGGGTCTCCTGTTTCGGTAACTCACTCACCGCATAGTCAATCACCCGCTTGATGGGGACCAATATCCGTAGCGCTGACATGGTGAGGTTTTGACGTTCAATGGCGGGCTGAGAAAGGAAGAGAGAAGCGTTGAATGCGGCCCATGACGGTCGGTTTGCCATGGCCCTCCCCGGCTAGTGCCGATGCCAACCTCGGCCAAGCGGTCGTTGCAACCTGACCCCTACCTTATCCCTAACCCTGACCACAAATGTCCAACCATCCATCCCTCGCAACAACTACACCAGAAAGATCTCAGGGGACGTAACAACCAAGACTATCTCCGCTCTATCATGATCAGACTCATCAAATGATCCCAATGCCTACAGGAAGCCACCGGAACTCCATCTGCCTCCTCACCTGCCTCTCTTCTCCCCTTAGCAACATCCAACGCCCCACAACTCTTACCCCCCAACCATACCCTCACCAATCATCCCACTCCTCCTTCTTATTGTTTGCCGCCGGGGCCTGTGAGCTGCCCTGTCTCCCACCCTTCCCCATGGCCGCCGTGCCTATTGAGCTCCCGCTGGCCTGCCTTTGGTCGGCAGCAGCAGAGAAATCGTCCCAGAATCCCCGCCTGCTCTCGTCAAAATTGTCGCCATTCGTGTTCACCGGGTTTGTACCCGCTGCCACTGGGGCCCTCGACGAAGCCGAGTGAACCCATCCTGCGCCGTCTTAGCACCTGCCTTGGGCTGACCGCCGCGGCCTGGGCGGGCGGCGTTGCGTGCTTGAGCCGCAAAGTCGGTCTCGGATATCTGGCCAATTTTGTTAGTACGTTGGGGCTATGAAGGCTGTGAAGAAATGCGAGAGAAATAAAGAGCCACATACTTGCTTAGCCGTAGGCTGGATGAACCCCTCGTTGACATTCTTAGCCGTTTTCGTGACCGTCGACGCGAACCACCCAAAGCCCTTCGAGATAGCCGCCATAGGGTCTCTCTGTAAGTCGTCAAGCCCGGGAATCGTTTGCTCTTGCTTCTGCGGCCGCGGCCCCGAACTGCCAAAACCGGCATACTTGCCACCCTGGCTCGGCGGCAAGTCAGCCGACCGCTGCGCGTTCCGCTCGCCCAGCTTCGCAAAGTAGTCCACATCTACCTTGATCTTCCCACCCGGCGCGGGGCTCTCACTCCTGCTCCCACCCGTGGGCGCAGCAGCAGCACTCCCACTCAGCGGCGTGCCCGTCCTCGGCCCGCTGCGCGTAGGCGCCGTCGACGGACCCCCCACACCAGGAGCTGGGCTGGCACTAGCACTCGCCGCCTTCTCCCCGGGCACGTACTCGCGGCCCTCGACTTTAGCGCTCAGCCTCTCCTTCCACTCCTCGCCGGCCTCCCCGCCATAGCGCTCCGCGATGGTGGCATCGTCCCAGCTGAGCCCGCGCATCTTGGTGTCCTCATGCTGCTCAAAGAAGCGGCGCCAGTTCTCGTTGCCGCCCAGGCGCATGCGCTCGATCTCGGCGGCCTTGAAGGCGTCCATGGAGATGGAGCGAACGAAGGAGATGTGGACGCCCAGGCCGCGGTGGACGCCGGCACACGACAGGCAGATGAAGATGCCGAACTTGGGCGAGGCCCATTGCGGTGATGGCGCGCTGCAGTCGCAGCAGATGTTGTTTTGGGCTTCGGCCTGGATGGTGACGAGCTAGATGCGCGCGCGCAAAAGAAAGGGGGTGCCGTCAGCAACACGAGCGCGGAAAGGAAACATAGCTGAGGGGATAGGGTGACGTTGGTCGAGGAGAGAACAGGTAGGGGACATGGAGGGAAGAAACACCTACTTTAGATCTCGTCTCGGGATCGACCTCCCACATAGCTTTCGAGGCCATCTTGGGCAACCAGCTGCTGGGTGCGATCTACTGTGCTAGACCGCGCAGATCGAGGAAGACAATTCGAAGCGTTCGGATATCGTGGCGTTTGCACCAGGTTTGGTGGCTGTTGAGAGTATACGAGCGGATTGAGTTGTCGTGATGTTCAACAATTCGTAAGACAGCACTACCAGGTAAGTTCTCTCGGGCACCAGTTGACGGCGCGGAGAGATGGAATTGGCTGCGCTTGGAGATTCTGGGCGAAGTTTATCGCGACAGGACAAGTGGTTCTGGACTTCGGTTGGGCGGGGCCAATCGGCAGGGTCTGGACGCCGCCGCAATCATGCCTCTCCATGACCCCCTGCAGGAACCGCTGCAACCTCCCGCATCCCTTCACCCACACGGAACACGCCATGCTTGATACACGCACATATCACATCACTCTCAAAATCAGCAAGCAAAGCGTATCACGTATTGTGGAGACCGAAAACTTTTCTTATGCCCCAACCTGACTCCGGCGAAGCCTAGTGTACACGCCCGAGGGTGCGAGACCAAAGAGTGAAAGCCGTCCGTCCATCCCCACGTAAAGAAAGTAAGAAAGTAGGTCATGAGGATATTAGGGGATATTTCTGCAGAAAGCCGCAAGATAATGGATAAGTGTCCCTGAACTCTACCCGCAGTACCCCTTTTTAGAAGCCTGCGCAAATTCCAGGACGCCAGAAGTATCCCTCCCTTAATCTCGCTTTCATGAAATATCCCGTCTAGCCATTGGCAAAAAAAAAGGAAAAAAAATATCATCCACCCATTTCCGGTCGTTAAGAAGATGCACGCGCCTAAAAGTAATACAGACGAACGGGGAGATTGCCGAATAGAAGAAGCGCGTGCATTCGTATCTCCATTGATGTATGCTGCGTGCTCATCAAGAGTAGAGCATCATCATTTAGGCGGCCGCGACAGCCGGGGCAGCCTCAACCTGCTCGGTGCCGTTCGTGTCCTCCGCCTCGGTGGCCTTAAAGTCATCGTCCGTCTTGTCCGGGCTGTCGATGGCAACCTTGACAGCGATCTCACGGCCCTCGATCTCCTTGCCGTTCATCTCCGCGACGGCCTGCTGCTGCAGCTCCTCCGAGGCCAGCGTGACGAAGCCGAAGCCACGGCCCTTGCGGGGCTCGCCGCGAGCCTGGAGCTTCTTGATCATAAACCGGGGAATCGGGCGCAGGGCGATCTTGGCCGACAAGGGCTGGTAGGCATTGAACAGCTCCTTGAGCTGCGGAGTGGGTCAGCAATCATTACCGCCGAAAAGAGGGGGGGGGGGGGGGGGGGCAACCAACCTTATCCATGGGCCCGACATTCTGAATGCTACCAACCCTGACCTTAGGCTTGGCAGGGTTACCGGCGAACGGGGGGACGCTGTCCCCAGCTTCCCCGGGAAGAAGACGAACCTTCATGACTTCTTGGATGATGCAAGCACTCCCTCTACCCATGCCGATCTTGAGACCTTCGAGGCCAGCGGCAAACGGAGAGGCAGCCTGTTTCCGAGTCACACTGCTGCCTCCTATGACTTCGAGGTCACGGAACTCTTTCTTGACCCATCTGATCAACTCAATCGGGGACCTGCGGGATATACTGGCTACTGTCCAGGGACACCGGGGTCCGAACCAGCATCGACCAGCCTACTTCAGACGAAATCTTATGCGTAAGAGCGGGGTGCACGAGGGGACCAGCGCCACACCACCTGCTTGGGATCCCCCTGTCTCTGAGCGAGAGAGGAAAGGCCTACGCTCTTGGGTCAAATCCGGGACCCTGAGATCCTCCAAAACCAGGTGCCCCTAATTCGTCGACAAATGCGAAAGCTTGGGCCCTTCTGGGAGTCGGCAATGGATCTGGTGCGCTTGGGACAAAGGGGAGCGCCCGTCCGGAGGCG